AATACTTTCAAATTGAAATTATAAAATGTCACATCTGAGCAATGAAAATGTAACACAAGAAATTCAAATCTTTGTATTGAATTGTTTTGAACTCAAGTTCAATACTTTATTAAACTAGAAAAACGCTATACTTATCCGACGCTTTCGCAATCAATAATTAATTTGTACAGGGCTACATTAATTTTTATATATAAACCTATTGTGTAATTTAAATGAGTCTAAGGCGTTGCTTACCGCGAACTTGGTAAGTCTTAGATCTGGATAATTGTTATTATACTTCGAATCTTTTAAAATTCACAAGACTAGTATAAATATTTATATAAATATAAGTTTATACGACTTAGAAGAGACGACTTATTAGAGATACATTTATAAAAACACCTATAAGGCAGATCCTTTAAAGAGGAGGGACTGCATTGGAAACACGATTTTATTATAAAAACTCGATATTTTTACTTATATTGAAAAAAGTCCATACGAAATATACGAATTAAAATGTAAAGTACAGAGTTTGACAGCAAATGTCCAAAATTTCATGAAGAAATGACGCCGTGCTTAAGGAATCTTAAGTTAGAAGGATTCTTCTTAAACCATAGTTTAAACCCGACAATATCATTAAACCACTTTTTCTAATAAGACGGGTTATGTATTGTAAATTACTAAAGAAATAAATTTTCTGTATTTTTTTCATGTTTATGTAATTTATGACAAAACTTAAAATTTAAGTTTAAATAATGTTGACGACAACAGTAAACGAAAGAACATATTTTAAGAACATAGGTTTCATTTTACCAATGCAGTCGCATTACTACTACACATTAAAACACGAGAGATCACATTTTTTATACAAAGGGTGACTTACAATTTAACGCTCCAAATACGTAATTAAAATACTAAAACGGAATGAAATTGATTTTTATTCATTACTTAGAATGAGAAATCCAGAATAAGACACCTAAGATAACAATGACCGTCTACTTCATTGATTAAAAGCAAAAAAAGTTAAAACAAGAAAGGGAAGCAAAAAGTAGACGGAAACTTGCGGCCGCCAGTATTGTCGCATCCACACTTAGGATGTTCTCGAAAAATATATCAAGAATTCATTAAAAAATGGTCTATGAAAGGCCTCATTTTAAAAATGTTCCAATAATTGAGGCGAAATAAAAAGTCTCTCGGAATCACTTTTCAGCTGTAAGAACTTCTTTGAAGCTTTAGTTTTCAATTTTTAGAGAAAATATTTACAAAATATCGGCCCGGCCACTTCTATAGAACATTACAGTTAAAGTGTGTCCTACTTTTATTCTTTAGCAGTATGCTTGCGTGCGTAGCGCGCATAGTTCAATTTCCCGTTGTATATGATTTTCGTGCTCACCGTACGTAGCTTTTTGTTTATATCGATGGTCTAGATGGTACATTTAAATATTTTATTTTTAAGACTTCGTTAAGGTCCTAATTGGTTAAACTAAATAAAAGTTTTAATTATTAAATATTTTCTAAAAGACAATACCCTTAAATTTGCTTTTTTTAAACTTGGTAAAAGTTTACAAGATTTAAACATCTTTCGAACACAATAATATAAACAATTATTTAAAAAACATAAGTTATAATGAGGATTGTATAGGGCTTTAGAGAAGTAATATATATATATATATATTTTTTATATATATACACACATATATATTATATATATAAACATCTCGGATATTACATGGTATTTTGTTTCTAGCATTAAAAAGGTTTTGAGTTTAGAGAGACGTTTCTAGAAGTTTTATTTATAATAATAAGGTTAAGGTAATGTCATGTGCAGTCGTTTAAAGTACAAATACGTTTTCGATTGTATGATAAGAAAGTGTGGCATATTATATTTAAGATAACTGTTGCAATATATTTCATAAGCGATGGTTATTGCTATTGTTTTGGAAACGTTACTTAACTATTGACTAATGACTAGATAAACGCTGTTGCTACAATTTCCTATCACTACCGGGGGGAGGAGGCCTGTATTTGGGTTGAACTCTATTGTATTTATATACGAATACTAATACTCTATAAATTTATCGATTTTCTTTGTATTTGGATTAGCTCTTTGATTATTCGTATGGTTAACATGGTAGTAAATAAATTTACAATATTGAAAAAGTACTTGTTAAAACTATGATTTGAAAAATTAGAATAACTGTCCCTGAAGAAGAAAATTTCTTGGTAATTTTTGGAACTATCGTATATAGCCACAGGCGGAGTGCGAAGCTTATATTTTGTTTTTTATTTACATTTAATCAGTTAAGAATAATGGTTTAGTAATTTAGTATTTATAACAGGTGACTATATAAAAGAATACATTAGATAGGTATTGATGATTACAGCGAAAATTTTACTGTAGAGTTCGACCGAAAAAGGATTTTATTCTCGGATGAAAAACGAAAAGGCGAAAAATAATTCATATAATTTTATAGAGTCACGCTACAGCTACATTATGGTTGCAGCACGAATGGTACGACTCGACCGAGATAGGTGTACGTTCTCACAGAATACCCGCGTGAAATAGCGGCCTAATAATGTTGTGTTTCGTACGAATGTAGAGAACCGGAAACTCTTTTTGCTAGAAACAATGCTTTCCATCTTAGTTATCTGACGTGACAACGATTTCTGCATTTATATTCTTAATTAAGGATAGATGTAGATAGTTGTGAGCCACCGCATCCACTAACTATCGGGTGGACTACGTGCTCGTTTGTCCCCCTTAAAATAATTACTATACGTACACAAACAGATAGGTAAAGCTTCAAAACTAATAAATTTAATAAGTTTTACGTGATTGATATCGTATTTCAAAGAAAATTGATTATAGCCTTATATTTTATGCAAATAATAGTGATTTTTCTGCATTTCTCTTCATAAACAATAGCGCCTGTCTGAATAAATTTGATCTGCTAAACTGAGTATCTATATTAATAGACGATTGCGTACTTCTATTAACGACGCATACCGCAGATAATACAAATTATGACCGAAAATCAACTAAATCCGGTCGAACTCTACACTTTTTGTTTGTTATTGTATTCAGTTATATCAGTCTATTCAAAAGATATGTGTTAAATATGTAATGTAGTAAATGTATAAGATTTAATTGTTGCTTGGATTATTATATTATTTTCTATTGTAAAAAATTAAAACCGTTGAATTGAACGTACAGTTACGTACAGCATTAAATTTATTTTAATTAATATAATTGAATACATAATATTTAATAAGGATTTAAATTGTATAATACTTTTAAAAATTACAAACCTTATTTTCCTTAATTACTATTAGATTCTATGTAGTATCTGTTATGTACTATGTTTCATAATCACCGATATCTATTAAAGTAATAATAACAATAACAGTGCACTGCTATGTATTTAGTTTTGGGTGCAAGATATAATATTTGAATTATTTATTACTACGTGACAGTAGTCAACAGTAGTATGTTACTATAAAAATAAACAAGTAAAAATATTGCCTACCGGTTATCGCAAAATAACATATTTTTCTAGAGATTCCATTAAATTTACATCGAGAGATGCATTGTTAATTACATAAGCCTGCCACGTAAAAGTGAAAGGTGCCAAAATCAAAATTGCAAATTTGATATAGAATTAGCTATTGAATAAAAGTTTTTTTATTTTTTGGTGGCGATGGTATCGGTTATCATACAAGTAGTATAATCTAAAATTAGTTATATAATGTGAAGTGTAGAGAATAGTTAAATATTTATTCATTTGATGGAAATTTTATTGAATTATATAATATATAAATAAAGGAAAATGTAAAATTTCGCTAGTAAATTCGCCCTTCTGTTCCCTTTTTGACTGAAAAATTCAATGTCACACAAAGTTACAATATTGAATATTTTTATAAATATAATGTTCGTGTTAAATGCTTATTTAAGTAGAACCATTGATATACTAAACATCCATCTATATCAAAGAGTAGAACAGTTATAAAAGGTAAATATTATTAAGTAGTGATTGGCAACACAATGCATGAAACCAGTTGAGTTATAACATTGAAGTATAACGTAGTACATAGTGTATTGGATTATAATATATACCGCCTCTACACACATCGTCCAACCCTTGAACGAAATTTTCCAGAATCTATGTGGTTCGGCCGAGTTCGACAACTTGAATCGGCCTTTCACCACTTATTTCTATGGTTAAATAGAATACAGTGTTTGACGTTTTTCACACTTTTTATTTGGATGGATGGACGATGGTGTACGGCGAGCGTTATAATATATATGTTAGGAATGTATCATAAATTATGCGTAACTTTATATTGATATTATAATTAAGTATAATATATTAATAAATTAAATCATAAACCTCGTTTACCAAATTTTTGAATAAATACTTAAGTACTTTGACATAGACAGTCTACATAATATGACAGGCACTCACAGTTACTTAAAATATAAACGCGAAAGGGATTATCCCCTAAATTGTTTTTTTTTATTTCGTTGAAAGGGAACACTGTTATTAATGTCAAGATAAAAGGTCACATAAATTATTCGTTAATTTTAGAGGAACATATTAAGAAGAGGTAGAGAATTCGATGTAATTATTTGAGATAAAATTTACTAAAGTAATAGAGACTTTTTTGTAAAATGAATAGTAATAAATATGTTTACACCAACACTTAACAAAGATAAGGTAAAATTTGCAAGACAAAAATCAATTATCACGTTAGAGGATTTAAAAGGTTGCTGACAGAATATTTCGGTGGGAGCAGTGTTGCCTTAATTAAAAATCATATGATTAACCCATGAACACCTTCGACTTAGCATTTTACAACAATAAACAAAATTAATGAGCAGTTAACATACGAGTATCCGATTCTACTAAAGTGGTCCTAGAAATTCGACGAGGCATCATGATACTCGAAAAGAGTTGACGGCGTTCGTAGGGTTTTATAAATATCTAGCCTAGGCCATTCCCTTCAGAACGGCCCCGACGTCGTCACTGCAAGTCCTTAACACCTTGTAATATCCTCTTAATATGCCCCACCTTTGTGATGCCCAGGTCTCTAAGATCACGTCTTGCCAGCGATAGGAGCTCCCTTCCCGTGACGTCATGCTTAGCGAAAACTTCGGAGTATTCGCCAAGTTGCATCGACTCGAGCCAAGTTTGGACTTCCTTGACGCCCCAGTTGCGAACTTGCGCCGCGGTGAACGAAGTACTGCTTCCCTCGGAGACACTTCTGCGTCCGCGGAGCCAGCGTCCCGCGCCCCTCTTTGGGACCTATTAGGGTTCACATAGGGTTGGGCGAAATGAATGGGTATGATCATGAACTAAACTAACGTGTACAGTGAGAGTCGATTGTGCAAATGCTTTAAAAATAAAGTCTGACACCGTCCAAGGACATGGTGCGATATGCTTTGGGAACTTTCACAGGTGACTGGGTGTGCGAGGGTAATGGTGAAATAAATTACAATTACTTTATTGTACCCATATGTCATGCAAAAATCTTATGAAATAGACTTTTAAAGGGCAGTTAATTTACATAGTTAATAGTAAAAAACATATTTTTGAATCAAATGAATATTTAAAAAAAAAAAAAACAATTTAGTGGGCCTTGAGTTAATTTCTGGCCACTTAATTTTCTAACCAACTATTATTAAAAGCTGTAGCAGCTCGAGGCACAATAGTGGAATCCCCACTAAAATTGATGATTGTTATAAGTGATGATTTACCACTTGTTCGGACAATAGAATACATATATGACTGAAGGGTACGTAGATTCGCCCAGGAGATGCACGACGAATTCAATCCCATTCCATGACCGTCTCAAAAGAAGAGGGCGCATGTGGACTTAATCATTGGAGCCTTGTTTGTCAGTCAGTAGGCTGTGTCATATGCAGATGAGTTTTACATTTACTTTTGTCCAGTTGTTTTTGTTGACTTATTACTAAACAGCCTTACTTAGAAAAACAAACTACGTCGAGCTACAGAAAGAGATTATCGGCTATCATCAACAAACCCCGGTTTTGTAGAGCGTCGTCTCTGTCGCACATTTATTATTAGTTGACGAGGCCGTCGCGTGTGTCGCAGTGCGCCAGGTACGCATGGTGGCAGAGTATGTAAGTAGGTGGGTACCTCGTCCGCGTGCAGGTAGGCGAGGCCGTCGCGTGTATCACAGTGCGCCAGGTGCGCATGGTGGCAGAGTATGTAAGTAGGTGGGTACCTCGTCCGCGTGCAGGTAGGCGAGGCCGTCGCGTGTGTCGCAGTGCGCCAGGTGCGCATGGTGACAGAGTATGTAAGTAGGTGGGTACCTCGTCCGCGTGCAGGTAGGCGAGGCCGTCGCGTGTATCGCAGTGCGCCAGGTACGCATGGTGGCAGAGTATGTAAGTAGGTGGGTACCTCGTCCGCGTGCAGGTAGGCGAGGCCGTCGCGTGTGTCGCAGTGCGCCAGGTACGCATGGTGGCAGAGTATGTAAGTAGGTGGGTACCTCGTCCGCGTTCAGGTAGGCGAGGCCGTCGCGTGTGTCGCAGTGCGCCAGGTGCGCATGGTGGCAGAGTATGTAAGTAGGTGGGTACCTCGTCCGCGTGCAGGTAGGGAGGCCGTCGCGTGTGTCGCAGCGCGCCATGGACGCATGGCGGCAGAGTATGTAAGTAGGTGGGTACCTCGTCCGCGTGCAGGTAGGCGAGGCCGTCGCATGTGTCGCAGTGCGCCAGGTACGCATGGTGGCAGAGTATGTAAGTAGGTGGGTACCTCGTCCGCGTTCAGGTAGGCGAGGCCGTCGCGTGTATCGCAGTGCGCCAGGTACGCATGGTGGCAGAGTATGTAAGTAGGTGGGTACCTCGTCCGCGTGCAGGTAGCGAGGCCGTCGCGTGTGTCGCAGCGCGCCATGGCGCATGGCGACAGAGTATGCAAGTAGGTGGGTACCTCGTCCGCGTGCAGGTAGGCGAAGCCGTCGCGTGTGTCGCAGCGCGCCAGGTACGCATGGCGGCAGAGTATGTAAGTAGGTGGGTACCTCGTCCGCGTGCAGGTAGGCGAGGCCGTCGCGTGTGTCGCAGCGCGCCAGGTGCGCATGGCGGCAGAGTATGTAAGTAGGTGGGTACCTCGTCCGCGTGCAGGTAGGCGAGGCCGTTGCGTGTGTCGCAGCGCGCCAGGTGCGCATGGCGGCAGAGTATGTAAGTAGGTGGGTACCTCGTCCGCGTGCAGGCAGGCGAGGCCGTCGCGTGTGTCGCAGCGCGCCAGGTGCGCATGGCGACAGAGTATGTAAGTAGGTGGGTACCTTGTTCGCGTGCAGGTAGGCGAGGCTGTCGCGTGTCGTCGCAGCGCCCAGGTGCGCATGGCGGCAGATTATGTAAGTAGGTGGGTACCTCGTCCGCGTGCAGGTAGGCGAGGCCGTTGCGTGTGTCGCAGCGCGCCAGGTGCGCATGGCGGCAGAGTATGTAAGTAGGTGGGTACCTCGTCCGCGTGCAGGCAGGCGAGGCCGTCGCGTGTGTCGCAGCGCGCCAGGTGCGCGTGGCGACAGAGTATGTAAGTAGGTGGGTACCTCGTTCGCGTGCAGGTAGGCGAGGCTGTCGCGTGTGTCGCAGCGCCCAGGTGCGCATGGCGGCAGAGTATGTAAGTAGGTGGGTACCTCGTCCGCGTGCAGGTAGGCGAGGCCGTTGCGTGTGTCGCAGCGCGCCAGGTGCGCATGGCGGCAGAGTATGTAAGTAGGTGGGTACCTCGTCCGCGTGCAAGGCAGGCGAGGCCGTTGCGTGTGTCGCAGCGCGCCAGGTGCGCATGGCGGCAGAGTATGTGGTAGGTGGGCACCTCGTCCGCGTGCAGGTAGCCGAGGCCGTCGCGTGTGTCGCAGCGCGCCAGGTGCGCATGGCGGCAGAGTATGGAAGTAGGTGGGTACCTCGTCCGCGTGCAGGCAGGCGAGGCCGTCGCGTGTGTCGCAGCGCGCCAGGTGCGCATGGCGGCAGAGTATGTAAGTAGGTGGGTACCTCGTCCGCGTGCAGGTAGGCGAGGATGTCGCGCGTGTCGTAGCGCGCCAGGTGCGCATGGCGGCAGAGTATGTAAGTAGGTGGGTACCTCGTCCGCGTGCAGGTAGGCGAGGCCGTCGCGCGTGTCGCAGCGTGCCAGGTGCGCGCGCACGGCAGCCGCCGCGCCGGCGCCCGCACAGCCGCTCTCCAGCAGCTCGTGGCAGCTCTCCACCTGCCGTACGTGTACCTCACTCATTTTTTGCTTTTGGAGTTTACTCCTTAAGAATCGGTTTATATCGATAACTACTCATATGTAGCTCGCTGTACATAAATTAGATGGAGAATGTAATAAAGTGTAATACTGGCTCTCTATAGAATAGAAAATAGAATATTTTTATTCAGTATATAGTCGTAGGTAGATTACAAGTAATAATTAATTTAATTTAACGTCATTTTTTCCAGTTTGAAAAAATCTGTGGACAGAGTTCCAGGGAAGAAGCAGCAAGAAACCCAACGGGAATTTTTTTTGCAAAGTAAAATTATATAATATAACACAAGTTGTCCAATCTACTTAAAAAACTTATTTAAGAAACTGAGTGAAAACGACTACCTCATTCCAAGGAGTTACAAACAACCCTTTTCATACAGTTTTTGTTTAATAAATTATTTAAACTTGGTAACAGAAAGATCTTATACATTTTCTGGGACTTTGTTGTTACAACATACTCGTATACATCGACCCATGAACGAATCACCTGACTCTATGGTCATCGAGTCATGAACTATTATCACTAGCTTGTCCTGATGTTTACAGAGTATACATCATTTTTTTATTAAAAGTACTTTTATTTTTGTGAACATACATAAAATTTTCGTAAATATACTAAGAAGTTAATTTTAACATATTTATTTTCTTAATATTTCTCAGAGAAACTCTCCTGGTTTTAACTTGTAAGTAGCTTTTATGGCCCTCTTTTGCAAAACAGAAATAGTTTCTGAATAAATCACTGCATTTCCGCATAGTAAAATGCCATAAGACATTATGTTATAGAAATAAATTAATCGATCTGTCTCAACACTAGACATGTTATATTTTTATACAGCATATGCTGCAGAGCTCAGTCTACTTGTTAGTTTAGATATATTGTTGTAAATTTTATAAGCATAGTTTTATTTCCGTTTAAACGTAGATTATTAACGTTCAACCGTTTTAAGTTTAAAAATCGATGAAGTATCAATGAAATCAATTAAGTATCATCAGCAAATAATCATGATTATCGCCTACAAGGGAAGTTTAGTCATTAATAATGACTAGAAATAGGAATGGGCCGAAAATTGAGCCCTGAGGAACACCCATTATTATTGATGACCCGGAATAACTTCTTGCATTAATAATATGTTACTGCATTCTATTACTTAAATATGAATTATAAATTTAAGCGCTGTGTTCTTGACACCATAGTGCTTAGTTTCCTGATTACTTGAGCTGCCGCCGTTCACTTCTTAAATGCAATACTCTGTACAAAGTGACTGACACGACATTTTCTGAGAAATACATTTCTCAGAAAATGTCGTGTCAGTCACTTTGTGATCTTTCCATTGGTATGTTTCTAAAATCAAGTCAATCATATCTTCAGAAAATAGAAAAAACGCTAGAAGAATGAAATTCTTGGCTCGAGCAGGACCCCTTAGACCAAGCAAATGTTAGCAATGATGTTATGTGCTGAACCCGTGATTGCGATGGTGGTATTTTAGAAAGAAAGAAAGGAAGAAAAACTTTATTTGAAATCACAAAGAAAAAATTTCTCGAGATATTTAAAAAAAAAAACAGGATTTTTGTGAAGTCAAATTAGGTCCCTATTTCAGCTAACTGGTGTTGTACTAAATGACAGCAGCGCTGATTTTCAAATAAAGTACAATATTAATTTCTCAGACGGTCATATATTACTTAAAGCTAAAAATTAAAAACAACCATTCAGAGAAGTGAGTGGGGAAGAAATCCGCATAAAAGAAGATATTATTTGGAAATAACAACACATAGTATAAGTGAACTGTACATTTAATATCACATATATATCTATACATTTAAATGTTTATATACATAAGAAAGTGCTCAACAGCTCAACATCATAAAGTATATTATCTAATCATAATAAAATAAAAATATGAATTTAATTGTAAAGACTTTAAGTTGTAAATGTTCCTATACTTTTTAAAGCACGCATTGGTGGCTGCAGATCGTTTCTCCAGCGAAAAGCTGCATACCTGAAGGCCTCCTGAATGCCATTTTTCTATGTTTTGGAATAACAAAGACGTTAGAACATTTACGTTTCGGATATTTTGACTGTTCCCTAACTCACACTAATTTGCCATATACGTAACGAGGTGTTTTTGATGAAATTAGTCCAAATATTAAGGTAGCAAGGTGTAACTTTCATGGCGACAATATTTTAATAGATCTGAATTATTTAAAAAGGAGTAACATGTGTACGAGGTGGTATGTAGAAGCAGAACCTCATACAAGTATGTTGTACACGCTGTATGAGTCTCTGAGTCCTACTTAATAGTGTAACGTTGCACGTACATGTATGCATAATTATAATTAAACGGTTTATTAAAATTAAATAAACATTTAATAAACTAAATAAAAATAAATTAAAAGTTATTAACAAAAATAATTCTATAATTAACTTAGGTATCCTATTAATAAAACAAATCAGTAAACTAAAAGAACGAATTAAATAATAAATCAAATATTAAAATATTGTATTTCGAACAAACACTCTGACGCTTCGTTACTCTATGCGCCTTGCAACTCTCGCGTCAGAGTTTTACCCGGCCGGTATTATTCCACGGCGTCGCGCTCCCGACCATTCTCCGCCCGAGCGCCCTGGGAGGCGCACACTACCACTGCAGCCGCGTTCACAAGCTCTGCTTTGTGTCCTCGTACGCGCTTGCAAATTTTAATCCCATTTTGGAAAAAGTTTAAAATAATATAATAATTCCGGCACTGTGGCCGTATAGTTTTTTCGTTAATTCTCGTCACCGAGACCTCCGTATCGTCTTGCACCCCGTAAGGGTAAGTGTTGAAACGTTACCTAGTTTTAAGTAGTGAAAGTGTTTTATAGGTAGTGTAATTTGATCATGCCAGGCTGTTTGCTTTTAGCTATTTAATTGCCACGTTATTAGTGTTATTTGCATGTAAGTAATGTATATATCCGCTGTGCGCGTTGGCAAAAGTACCGTTACAAAATGGCGTCTCATACATTTTGCACCGCGATCAAATATCGCAAGTCACCATCATGTTTCAACCAATGCACAGCCTAAATTAGTTATCCTGGTACATTTAAACAGTATTTTACACTTGCCGTAATTTTAATTCATGTGTATTTTAATTGCGCCTCACCGCTATGACGCTTGCCTTCCATTCCGCCTTGTAACTCCGTTCTGATTATGAACACCCGCCAGCTACTCTCTGTGCTCCCATCTACTGCTAGCCTGCGATATACCGGGGGTTCATAATCGGCGGCATTTTATTACCTGGACCTAAATGTGGACGACGTTGTTTCCAGGGTGCAATTTTACGACTACAACCGTGGCGGTCGTCCTTCTTAAGAGGGCCTAGGCCTCCCCTCGACGCCGCCACCGCCCCAGCCAGCTGCCCACGGCGCTCCCCCGTGAACAGTCCAACCCCCCGGCCCTGCTCGACCACCTCGCGGCCACATAGGGGAGTACCTGACCCTGCCAGTGAAGCCAGACGGGCATTTTTTTTTAAATTATCGGAACCACGCCCACGACCCTTTCTTTTACCAATATATAATTTTTTTTTATGACTGGTTGTTGCCTTATTTTAAATACCACCCGCCACAATAGACATGATCCAAACACTACGTCGCAGTAATTTAATTTGGACAAAGTCCTTGTATTCTCTGTTAGGATTGAGTGAGAAATTAGGATGATTTTGTATAAGATTTTTCATCTATAGGAAAAGTTTTGTACACTTTCTCTAACATGTGATTCGCAACACAGATGGATACCAAACTTAAGCCCAAGGTTTATAGCCTCGAAGATTTAATCAATTGGATTGTTTCCAATTTTTAAAACTATTGGAAAATTCAAGTTAAGTTAAGTTTAAGTTTAGCTATAATTTTTTGTGACCCTTTTAACATAAACTTTGATTCATCAGGATTTAGAACCAATGAATTTAATTTTGACCAATTCAAAACAGCCTCTAAATCGTAATTTATTTTATTAATAGATTGAAGAAGGCCCATTGGCGACAGTATAAACGGAAGGTACATTTGCAGGTCATTAGCATATATATAGTGGTAATGACAGTGATTAATTTTTTTAACGATATTGTGACTGCCCAATATTATTATTAATAATTAAATTCAATATAAAGGGGCGTCAAAAATAGTCCTAAAAGATATATATTAAGCAATTAAGTTAAATTAATAAACATAAAGTTAATATATTTCTGACGTTATCCCAATAACATAGTAAATTAAAGGCAAAATTATTGTTTTTCGTAATAAATAAATTTATTTAAAAACTTGAAAAAAAATATTTAAAATAAGATAAATAATAGAAATACAAGTCAAAAAATATTATAAAATTAAGTTAAATAACGTTTATAAGATAATTAGAAAATTTGTTAAAAATTATTTAAGTCATGGGAGGTGTTCGTGTATAAGTTGTGGAAGTAGTTCACGTATAGATGAAATTTCTTAAGTTGTTAAAGGAGTTCATGTATTAAAGAAAATTTTCCTAAGTTATGGAAGGTGTTCCCGTATAGACGTCTTGTATGGAGGAAGCTGCCGGAGGTACATACCTGCAGTTGTACATATATATGGGGTGGTCGGGAGCCCGACTGCCTGAAGTACTGTAGCACAATGACTAGTCCTATATTAGGGACTTATGATATTAAACTCAATGACAAAAGCAATACTAAAGAAGGTCTCCATGATGAATTTGCATTACAATAGTAGGGTCGTGGGTTCGAACCCTATATATTAATGACTTACGAAAGTAAGGTCTATGATCCAAAAGCAATACTATAGAAGGTCTCTATGATTAATATGCATTACAATAGTAGGGTCGTGGGTTCGAATCCTATATATATACATGACTTATGAAAGTAAGGTCTATGATACAAAAGCAATATTATAGGAGGTCTCCTTGATGCATAAGCATTGTATGGGGTGGTCGGGTGACTGACTGCTCCTTGTACTGTAGCAAAATGACTAGTCCTTATTAGGGACTTGAAAAGGAATATTATGGTGGCGTGTGTGCTGCTTCACGAGCAATTGGTCCGAGGTAAACTTGGACTCGCTAACCGATGTGTCCTAGACATATCATCTTAGTGCCGGTGGTAAGCGGGTTTGTTGTAGCAATACGGCTTTCCCGTGGACATCGCACACCCATACCGTTTGTGGGTGGCGTAGTAGCGCATAGCGATGCGTCGTCTATATTTCGGATTGTTATGATGAGTGTGTTTGGTAGCACTTTTAAGTGTAACAGGCATACTCAACTTCATGTCTTAGTGCATTAGCGCTATGATACGTGGAGTTTTGTTCATTGGCGTCTTAGTAGCGTGCTACTATGATACGTTGGTGATATTTTTTATATAACAACAATACAAACTTTGTTACCAAAGTCGATAGGGATCATGTGGGTGTGTTGTGAGGGGGCGCCACCCGTATGATAGTTGCATTGATGCTTACTGCTACTTGCGGTATTGCGTCTTGTGATGGATCTGCGGGTGTGCTGCGCCTGATTCGACGCATTCCTGTGGTTCTGGTCGATCGAGATATACAATTAACATCTTAGTGCCGATGGTAAGCGGGTTTGTTGTAGTAATACGGCTTTCCCGTGGACAACGCACACCCATACTGTTTGTGGGCGACGTCGTTGCGCACAGCAATGCGTCGTCTATCTTTCGGATTGGGATGATGAGTGTGTTTGGTAGCACTTTTAAGTGTAGCAGGCATACTCAACTTCATGTCTTAGTGCATTAACGCTATGATACGTGGAGTTTTGTTCATTGGCGTCTTAGTAGCGTGCTACTATGATACGTTGGTGATATTTTTTATATAACAACAATACAAACTTTGTTACCAAAGACGATAGGGATCATGTGGGTGTGTTGTGAGGGTGCGCCATTCGTATGATAGTTGCATTGATGCTTACTGCTACTTGCGGTATTGCGTCTTGTGATGGATCTGCGGGTGTGCTGCGCCTGATTCGACGCATTCTTGTGGTTCTGGTCGATGGAGGTAAACAAATAACCTCTTAGTGCCGGTGGTAAGCGGGTTTGTTGTAGCAATACGGCTTTCCCGTGGACATCGCACACCCATACCGTTTGTGGGCGGCGTAGTAGCGCATAGCGATGCGTTGTCTATATTTCGGATTGGGATGATGAGTGTGTTTGGTAGCACTTTTAAGTGTAACAGGCATACTCAACTTCATGTCTTAGTGCATTAGCGCTATGATACGTGGAGTTTTGTTCATTGGCGTCTTAGTAGCGTGCTACTATGATACGTTGGTGATATTTTTATATAACAACAATACCAACTTTGTTACCAAAGTCGATAGGGTTCATGTGCGTGTATTGTGAGGGGGGCGCCATCCGTATGATAGTTGCATTGATGCTTACTGCTACTTGCGGTATTGCGTCTTGTGATGGATCTACGAGTGTGCTGCGCCTGATTCGACGCTCTCTTGTGGTTCTGGTCGATGGAGGTATACAGGTGGTGATGTCTGCTGGGATATATGGGGGACCTTGGGATGGTGTAAGCCCGACGATAGTCGTATTGATGCTTGTTGCGTTCTGCAGCGTTGCGTCTTTGCGATGGTTGTTTGGTGGGACGCTATTCTCAATGGCGCTCTCTGCGTCTTGGTTTGACTCACGCCTGAGTAGCTTTGCCCAAGTCGGGTCCCTTCATTACGGGGCTGCAGACTGTCTGCCCTCCACAATGTTTTATATAACAACATAATATTGTATCTCTGTAACTTTCCCACCTTTGAATGATTGAAGGCAACTTGTCGGTGGGTGAGACAAACATGATCGAAAATGCATTTACTCAACGTCAGTGACACAAACCCTTTCTGATGGCGAATTATTACTCTTATCTTATAACTGCCTTTTGGCTATATCTGCCGTTGTATTGGTTAGTGGAGCATGTGTGTCGACCTCATGCGGGTGGTAGCTGGCGGGAGGATCTGAGGAGACTCTCAAGGCTGCGGCCGAAAGCCGCACAACGTGGGACCCCATTCCCTTGAGGTAAGCGGTAGACTCATGACACGCTCTGCGGCTAGTAGCCGTGCTGATCATGCAATTGGTGGTGATGCCATACACTTACATCACGTCTGCAGGAGCGGCGGTCTGGCAGGTGGTGGCGCTCACGGAGGGTTTACGGCCAGTGTGCCTATTTGCCTAAACCGTGTGACGTACATTCACTGTGGCTGGATTCGTTCGTATTCTGTTTGGCGTTTACACGCATTGACATGCGCGACTTTGGTCGATGTTTGTGCTTACGCACTAGCAAGGGGCCAAGCCTCTTTTACTGGTTCGCCAGTTATTTTGCTGTGGACTACGGTCCAGTTTCCGAATTAGCGTTCCCTACGGGGGGAGTGCATCAAAATGGTTGGCGCTCACCGTGCACGGCGTGTGTGGGGCCGTGTACCTTCCCCTACATTTTTTTTAAATAAATGTAGGAGAGCGAAGCCCTTGTATCGGGTATTTTTGTATAATTATATTGTGAGCCTTTTCCAAGCGGGAAGGGATAAATAATAATAAATTAATAATGTCAACCTGATACAAGTGGAATAAAGACGTTTTACGTTCTTAACCTTTCTCGAGCCCTGCCTTCGTGAACGGGGTTCACTTAGCTTATAAGGCACTACCAACAGCTTTCAATTGCTCTAGTGAATATTCATTCTTCCAAAGGACACCTAAAAGAACTAAGTTACTAAACAAACACAACGTAAATAAGGGTCCTAACTAAGACGATCACGCCAAAATATTACAAACGGCCTATTATTAAACCTTTAGAAAGATCATTTAGAAAGATCTAAACATAATTTATTAATCCTGGTCACATATATATAATTTTTAATATGAAGGGGGAATATAATACATTTAGTATTTTATATATTTATTATTATGAGAGGGGGGGGAAGCGTTACAATATCATTAGAATATAGCGTGAAAAGTACAAGCCCAAGTACAGAGCCCTGTGGGACGCCTTGTGTAACATTGTAGGTGGCTGATTGAAGCCAGGTACCGCCACTTTGGTGAGAAAACTGTCAAACCATTTGACCACATTAGCATCAAAGCCATAGAATGCCAACTTAGCCAGGAGTAATGACCGATCGATTGAATTAAATGCTCGGGAGAAGTTTAAGAGTATCAAAATTGATCGTATACCTCTATCTTAAGCTGCAAGTAGATTATCGGTTACTTCAAGCAAAGCTGTAGTAGTGCTGTGGCTCTTGGGAAAACCAGATTGCATAACGCTAAGATTACCTTGATTAATCTTTAATCTGCTTGCAAACTACTTTTTCTAGTATTTTGAAAATGCAGGGCAATAGACTAATAGATCGTAGGTATTGAATCGAAAGAGGGTTGGTCTTCTTTGGTAAAGGGTTGACAATTGCGAGTTTCCATAAAATTGTAAAACCGCACTCTGGATCGATTTTATATTGATAAAAGTTATTGTCATTAATGGGTGCGTTTGGCAGAAAAAAGCGCTAGCAAGCGCTTGTAAGCAAAATGGCGATTGTAAGCGGTAAGCGCTGTCAAATCGTAAGTAGCTATTTTCCTCTAGGACACGAAGTTAGTTTTAACCGGGGAACCTAACCTAATTTAAATATATGTTTGTAAAGTATTCATATTAAAAACTTACCAATTATGAATTTTTAATAACATGTACATATGTTTACTCATGTCATTATATTATCTAAAACTAATATTGCACAAAACAACTTCAAAACCATTGAGTTATACAACTAGACAACACTAGAACAACTGACGTGATATGGCTGTGGCCATATGTGTAGTGGCAACGCTTTGGCGCGATTGTTACCGATCTAGTGTAATATATAAATCAATGTTCAAAACAAACGAATTAAATAAGCAAAATGGCGGATTGTGTTAGCGCTACTGAAGTTAGCAAACGTGTCCTGGCCGAAAACTCTTCAGTTTCGCCATTTTGCTTACAAGCGCTTGCTAGCGCTTTTTTCTGCCAAACGCACCCAATGATTGTGGTAGAGTCATTAAAAGCATCTGTAGGGAGATATTGTCTATAACTACGGCATTGGAATTAAGTTCTTTAATAGTGTTTAAAATTAATTCTTCTGCTACTGTAGACAAAGTAAAATTATTAAAATTGTGCCTATGTTATTTAAAGGAGACTGATACGCTTTCATACATTCTTGGGCCTAGTTTGTTAAAAGACGAAAGAGGTGTCTATCAACACCGACAGTTGCTTACCATATCAATTGTAGTATTTATTGTATTGTATGGAGTGGGAGGATAATAGAAAACTCACAAATAGATTGAAAGGTAGGGACGGTTACGTATATATATATATATATATATATATATATATATATATATATATATATATATATATATATATATTTTTTATTACGTACATACAGAATACAGATTGAGTCAAGCAGGACAGGTGCTGTTACTGTCAGCACAGATTAAAAATACAGTTGGCAAACAAGTAATAAATCGAACTGTAAACGAGAATCGATTTTAAGATTTTTTTTAATGATGTTGATATTTCATTTTTGGAACTGTTGACAATATGTTAATTGTAATTTATGTAATTACTTTGATTGAATCAATTATCTGCTGTAAGTTGGTTTTATTTTTAATTGTCAAACGCATTCATATTATTTTTTCGATTTCTTATTTTGTTCGCGACATAAACTTATTTTTAAGATTTATCGTTTTCCAGATTGTGAATTGGGCTAATTTTCTATATTTTGAAATAGAAAAATATAACATTTTTTAAACATATTTCAACTTATTACAAATGGACCCAGAAATACTCATCTCCCTTAGAAATATGAGTAATTGGTATCGTGTCATCCTCAGGTATATTTAGAAAATGTTTATTTATCAAATCAGGGTCACTAAACTGATGAAGACGTTCCTCAAAGCCTAATTCTTGAGATTTACTATGTTTTCAAATTTTTCCACAGAGTTTTGGAATCCTTAATACTTTTATTCATGTATTGTTTAAAATATGCTTTCTTTTCATTTATCGTGGCTTCTTTTACTATCCGCTTCATGTTTTTATAACAATGTTTAAATGTGCTATTTTTTGTATTGAGCATGGTAGTCGTCGCAAACTTTGATCATTTTGCTTATTGTATCAATAATCCAAGGGTGAGGTGGTGATTTGGAACGAGTGGTTTTAGGTGGAGCATGCAAATCGAACAGAATGTTTGTAACATAACAAAAATAAGTAACCATGTCATTGACGTCATTAAAATTTGTTCAAAGTGACCAATTGATTCTTTCTAAATCACGTATAAATAATTCTGTAATAATATTATTTAGTGACCTATATGCTATAAAACAAAGACTAGGTTTATCTTTTTTATATGCCATTGTTAATTCAGCATTAACAATGGCATGGTTTCCCAAAGCGGGCAAGTATTTGACTATGGTGTTTCGTACCCTAGCATTAGAACAGATCAAATCTCGCAGTGTTTTGCTGTGGATAGTGAAGTGTGTCGGAGCATTAACAACTTGTTTTAAGCTATGACATTCTTAGAATTGGTTTAACAATATGTTACTCTTGTTTCCACTATCCAAAATATTAAATCAACAACCAAGATATCCTTATCCGCGTCAATAAAAGTGGAAAAAAGTGGAGCTAACGCATCCAAAAAAATATTAAAATCTAGCCCAGGGGGTATATGCTGTGCCAACGATAAGCTTGACTCCTGAAATATTTATTTTTATTCACATGTGTTCAACAGAGGGAGTAGAAGGATGTGTACAAATTTTAAATGCTATATTTTTATTATATAAAAGCCTTATCCTCCGCCTCCTCTTCTTTTAATTTGCTGAGGCCTAGGATTATGTCGCAAACGATATTCATCCAGTATGAGAGCTTTCGCTTCTTCTCCAGCACTAAGCCATGTCTCATTGATAGAAATAATGTCCGGCTTAAGTTCTTTCACGGCTACAATAATTTTCGACCACTTATATCAATTTCTTCCATAAAATGCATTATTTTTAGGTCTCCCTGTTCAATATTTTCTATTTTTTTGTTTTCTGAATCACTATTCGTTTCTTTTTCATTTTCAGTGTCGTGATCACTGACTTCATACTCCGCGACACTATAATCCAATAATGTTAGGGGGAAAATATCCTCAATTATATTTTCTTCCGATTCGAAGTCATTCAACAGATTTTCTGTCTACTGGAAATTTAAATTTTTATCCATAGTACACCACAAACATACAAAAAAAAAACAAGTAAATAAGGAAATTGAACAAAAAAAAAACTTACGTCATGACACTTGCGGGGAACCTTAGTCCCATATCGAATCGTACCTCTTGAAATAAAGCATGCTAGCCTGGTGCACGTTCCCGTCCCGCGAGACTTCAGAGGGGATTGGGAATACTTTACGCTTCAACCACTTAAAATGTTTTCTAAAATGTGTTCGTTATGGGAGCTAGGATAAGACCTGTGGTGTTATGGGTTAAAACCTCAGAAAAACGGAACCAAAACATGTGGTGAAAAGTTTTAATATAAATTTTTCCGACTTAACATTTTAGATAATTGCTCAACCCGGGTAATGTCAGTGAGGGATGCTAGTAGAAGATAAAGAAAGAAGTCTCACCAACGCCGCGAGCAGACGACGCAGCTGTGGCGGTGGTAACAGGCGGCCCTCTGCGTCTTGCAGCGAGTCGGCGCGTGCAGCCACACGCCGCGCCGCACTCAACGCACTGCCACCCGAGCTAGCTTCGCTTATACAGGCCAGCTTTACCTGAACCATACATTTTTGAAGTTATTTTTTTTTGAAATATTTTAAGGATAGGCCGTTGTAGTTCAGGGGCTAAGCGCTCGCTGTAAATTTCACAGTATGCAAGTAACCTGTGTTCGATCCCCGCCGGCTCCAATGAAATTGTTAATTGCAATTTTAGGTGCTGATTTACTACGTGCTCGGCGATGTAGAAAAACATAGAGGACACGTGAAGTTCGCCAAACGAGCATTGAGACAGTGCTGTAGATATTTCCTTCCCCTAAAAACCCTTTCAGAAACGAGAGCAGCAGTGGGACGTATATAGGCTGTAATTTCACTTTTTTATACATGGTAGATCCATACTGCAACTACACTATAGATGTAGCATGAATGGATCATTTTGGGTAGGACCACGCTTTCACAGAATACTCGTAGCAGTGGAAAATAGCAGCTCAATGTTGCTGTGTTGATGAGTGTAGGGAACCCTTTTAACTAGATATGAGGAATTTCATCTTAGTCCTCAGGGGTGACAACGCATTTGCATTTTGATTCTCGATTGAAGATAGTTGTAGATGTCTATGGGCAACTGCAACCACTTACCATCAGGTGGACTGTGTGCTCGTTTGCCAACCTATTCTGGTTGGGCTATTTATGTATATAATAGAAGTGAAAACTTTTTGAAACGTTGAGCGATTATTGAATGGATAAAATCTTATGAGTTTGCGTCACGGACATACTAATGATAGTTTCACCGCCGCCACACGGCTCATTAAGACTAATTAGTTGTAATAAACAGTTGTTTAAACGAGTTATATTATAGTTATGGTAAGCGCTCCATAGACTACAAAACATAACATAGCCCTATAAATTATATGTTGAATTATAAATTTATCGTATTATTATTATATTAATTTAATACAATTTATTTGAATTATGAAAATTTAATTTTTCTTTTATTTTTCTGTATGCTGCTAGTTTTGCCATGAAAGTTATTTGTGTCTTAACCTTAAGATACTTAAAGACAAGCGGGAATCAATAGTTAAAATTTGGAGTGAATCAGAGACTGAAGTTTCTCTCAAGACATTTTGTATCTCTAATTAGGATTTTAGTAAGAAACAAAATACCTAAAATTAGGGGGATCAACAATTGTTATATACAATTAACAATGAAAATGAGTCTGAGTGATTACGTACGTGTTTAACTAATGTGTTAACGTCGTCTAGAAGTGCCAATAATTGTGCCGATTCCGACTGAGACAAAGAGCTGCCCGCTTGTGCCTTTTGCTGCTGCTTTTCATCCCACGCTCTATGTTTGAAAAGAAGTAACAAAATAAGACATTTTTAAGTAAAAATCAGAGTTAACATTTTAATTATGTTAGGTCTGGTTGGGAAAAACCCAAACGGTAATAAAGAGTGTAGTAGCTGTGATTGTCACGGTGAACGAAAGGAGCACATGGCTGTGACTCGAGGTAAAGGAACGACCCAAAGTGGCCACTCCGAGTGGAATTGGTGATTATGCGACTCCAGGGCCGCGCGAATGTGCAGGTGGTTTAGCCACGGGAGAGAGGAATGTCGAATAGACTCCCCTCCCCCCGCATCCGAAAGTTGCAGCGTAACAGACCAGACCCAATGCTAGGGCCAGGAAAGCTGGTGCTTCCGAGTGCTCGATTTTTCCTGGTGGGGGTCCATTATGCAAGTGGAATTGAGGTGGCACGTACGCGCACCTTGTGTTCCTAGTGCGTCTTACCTAAGAAGGAAAAGGGGACGTAAAAGTCCTCTCCCGAAGACTGCTGTCATGCGGTTGGCGCTGGGAGGGTCGCGAATGAGTGCGAAATCATTCCTGAGGTTCTGCCAATATGCGGCAAAGGAAGAACACCATGGGGTTTACGCGGTGCTGATCAGATATAGCCCGTCCATACCCATGCGAAGCAGTAAGGTATTTCTCATTAAAAAAAATGGGAAAACTCAATGATTGAGTTTTGGCCCAACTCGGGATTCGAACCCAGAAACACATGATTAGCAGTCACGTTTCACACATAACACTGGAGCAATAAGGCAGACAAAGCTATAAATGATATTGACTTGGATTTGTTTGATTGACTCCGGTTCGAATTCCTAGTCGAGCCAAAAATCAGTTACAGGGTTTTTCTGTCAAGAAATACTCAGTAGCAGCTTCTGAGCTGACTCTGGTCAGGTCTCTCCCGTGCCTCGGAAATCACGTAGCCGTTGGTCCTACACTTGATATCTTTTTGGTTATATGGGATTACTGTCCCATCGGACTATGAGAGTGAGCGAATAGAGAGTGCACAAGTGTTTGTGCACAATGTGTTTGGTTACCGCTACGACTGGCCGTCGTGACTGATATTCGTTCAGCGGAGGACATTATTTATATTGTGTCATATCGAGAGAGCGACAAGTTTGACAGATGTCGACGGTGTTATCTCTTAGGATGTATCTCCGATAGATGTTGGTCTCAATACCCTAATGCAATTGAAGAGACAAAATCCTTATCATTATTAAAGTTGTGGGTATTTATACAGTATTATCATCTGGTAGGATTGTAAAAATATATTAAATAAATAAATCAAATATAAGGTGAAAAGTTGAAAAGGAAAGAAAGTTACTGTGAAAGGTGATGGAAGTATGATAATAATGTAGGTACGAAAGAGAAAGAGCAAGATAAATCGTCGTATAGTATAGGAGTAGTGTATAATATAGTAGGTTGAAAAGAGGAAATAATTCATAATGTGTAATGGCGAAAAGTATTTCATTTCATCTTATATGATGCTCGGCGAGAAATTAGTGTTAAATTAATGATCTCGTCTTGAGTATTACAAATACGTTTAGTGACGTTTACATTGAAAGTTTTTTTTGGTGGAACCACGTATAAGGTTTGTAAATTAACGGCGAGTTTTCTTTGCATAAGCGAGATACGCAAACGGCCTTACCACGCCACGACGTAGGTGTAAAGTATTTGAAATATACTAATTCAATTAAATAAACTATTTTCTATTGAAAATTTGAAAACAAACTTAACGATGGAATCAATACAGTCGAAAGATTTGGAAAAAATTATATAGTCCAACAATTGAAGGACGAATAAAAGTTATAATTTTTAACAAGATCCGGTGTGAAAAGTGAGTTAATTACGAGAACTGTTAATTAATGACAATATTATTAAATTGGAAAATGGAATTTTGGAACAAACTAAGTCGTGAAAAATTTAATTTGACAGTAAGTTAAAGTAGGAATTGGAACACTCACAAAAGGAAAAAGAGCTAAAGGATAAATCAGGTGCGTCCTCGAACGTTATATTATCAAAAATTTTGCAAAATCAGTCAGATTTTGTTAAACAATTGGCAAGAGACAAATCATAATTCATCCAAGTATTTTTGATCGCTGACACAAGTCAAGCTATATATTTTATTATTTAATAATAATTAATAAAAAAGAAAATGCAGTTGATTGGATAAGGCAAGTAGAAATAACTTTGATAAATAGGTCGGAAAATTTAACTTTAGTCAATGCATCAATGAGGTTAAGAGGTCCATAGCAAGTGATTGGCACAAAGCATAAGGCAAAAAATTAGACTCAACCAAAAGAAATATATTACCAAAATAATTGAAGAAATGCTGTAAGTACATATAACAGAAAACAACCTAAATACAATAAGTTTATACCTAAACATAATTCACAGGTAGACAAGGAGGAGGATAAAGTATGTTTTCGTTGTAAAACAAAGGGTTTCATAATAGAAATGCAATGTACCACCACAAGTACTAAAGATACTACAACTATAAAATATAAACACAATAAAAAATGTCAAAGTCTACAAGCTCAATCAGTCAAAATAAAAATGTTAAACAAGTCAATTTTTTACAAGAAATTAAACCTAATATTACACTAACACCCGTTTTATTTAATAGCATAGTAGAACTTCAAGCACTTTCGAATTTAGGGTCTGTCATTACATTAATAGATAAAAATACGTGTGGCACTCGGTGACTGCCGCGGTAAAGCTATTGCATAGCACTTTTTATCAACTTATGTAATTATAATTATTTATTTATTTTATTTATGCAGTTAAGTCTTTGATATTAAATCAAGTTCCACTTTTTCAGCGTGGTGACCGATAAGAAAACAATTTTTTTCTCTTATTGAATAAATGAGAAGTTAATATTGTTTAAAATATTTTTAATATCTTACAATACATGTAGGTTATTCAGGAATTTTTATCATTGAGTTAGCAGCTAGTGTACACGCATACGTCTAGTCGCACGCACACAAACACCGTGCCGAAGTCTGCCGAGTGCCGAAGTCTGCCGAACTGAAACGACGTTAGACGATGCACGGCTTTCAACGCCACACCTCCGTGCCCGTTGGAGTGGGGAGCGTGAGGTTTTTTTCGTTACGGAATTTCTGGATTCGGTCCCCGCGCTCAAGGCCCGAGATAGAAGCTATGCAATAGCTTAAAAAAGTGTTTACTAGAGGGTACTAAAGTCAGTCCATGGCAGAAGGGAAATTATACAGTTGAAGGTAATATACTTACCCCTATTGGATGGCTGTCTTCGAGAGTGCAGGTAGAAAAAATTGATTATTTTATGCCTCAAATAGCTACAATCTGTAAAAGTTTACCTGTATCAATGATTATAGGAAAGGATAGGCAATTTGCTGTTTAAGCACGTATTATTCATAAACCCGATGCAAAAATATGTATTATTACTTCGATACATACAGAATATTTTCCGAACACAACTAAAGAAGATTTATATACTTATATTATCTTTGATAGCATGTTGTATTCAACAAATACAGAACTACAGGGATAAAGTAATAGAGTTAGTTTCTGAATAGAATGATATTTTTTAAAGTGACTCTAGTAATATATGGATGTTTCCAGTTTTTGAACTGGAAATAAAACTGAAACATAATAAATACATACGCTGTAATCCATATAGATTGTCAGAACCGAAGCGTTTTTTACTATCAAAAAATTTGTAGATTGTCAAACTCACCCTAATGTTTGTCCACCATAAAGACCAGTCGTAGATTATTCAAAAAACGATAAATCGAATTACGATTTTAGACGCTCATTCAATTGAGAAAATAGATCATATATTTGTAACTGTTTGCAAATTTGTCTACAAATTTAATATTAATAATAATAATAATGATTTATTTGCAAGAAATATGGTAGTTACGGGATTAATAGTTTGGTATGGTACAATCATATTTCGCCAGTGGCATGCAAAAATATAATTTTATAATTGTCAGTCTAGTGCTATATAAATGTTCTATGGATATCTATGATTAAATACAAATTAGTGAAAAACCTAAGAATAAAATGTCACAAGATAAGTAACACACATATACATAGACGTTAACAATAAACAAGAAAATAATACAAAATTTGTTCCAGTCTTAACGCCAAAAAAATAAAATAAAATAGATAATGTCGTCAAGTTTAGGTGTACATGTCAACAGTTATCAAGTCAAGTCAAGACTATATTAAATATCACTTTGGTCTATAACAATAAAATTCACCAAGGGAATAAAAACAATTCTGAATAAGCCATTGCTTCAATGTTTTTTGAAAAAAGTTAAATGGCAATTTTCGTATATCACTGGGGATTTTATTATATACTCTTATACACATATTGGGACTACTCTTCTGATAATAGACAGTTTTACACTTTCGTAAATTTAGTCTTGTAACATCTCTATGCGGAAATGTTTTATCTGTATAATTATCAATACATCTTTGAAATAAATGTGGATATTTCTTTACAAACGTTCCAATTTCATACACGTACATGCAACACAGTGTCATAAGTTTTAACTGTTTAAAAAGTGGTTTACAAGAATATACAAGAATCAAAACGTCCACATCCACAAATCGCCCGTAGACATTTCTTTTGGATGAGGAATGCTCTATTAAAAACCGTTGGATTGCTCCAGATCAATAAGCCATACCGTAGCACGGACGCTACATATCCATGATAAGCTGTTATAGCAGCTTCTTTACTTGTTAAATTGGTTAGTCTTTTAAGTGCATGAACGAATTTATCTAATTTATCACACATTAAGCTTTTATGACTTTTCCAACTACAGTGCTGGTCTAAAATAAGGCCGAGGAATTTTATTTCAGCAACCTTTTCAATTTCTTGATTATGATTCACGACTTTTATTTTAGGGATATTTACCCGGTTAGTGCAGAATATAATATATTACCAAAATAAGTACTAGTTTTGAGTAGATTGGGGACATAAATTATTACTTTCGAGCCAATTTATTGTGGATGTGACAATATTGTTAACTTTAAGTTCATAATCAGATGGCTTTTTTTACCTGTTATTATAACTGATATATCGTCGGCATATAGAGTACAATGTTGATTGATTGCCAATGGAAAGTCATTAATATATAAAATAAAATAAAGGACCAAGAATTGTACATTGTGGCACACCTTTTGAAGTGGGTTGTAATTTAGAGCTATATGTTACATGTTCATTGAATTAATTAATCCTATTGAATAAAACTATTTTTTACGGATTTTATCGCGTTTAATTACTTTAATTTATTTTTATTATTTACGTTTAGTTATACGTCCCAATGTCATAGTTAGTCCGGCTACCTAACTATGACATTGGGGACGTCAAACATCTCAGTCCCCCCCCCCCTGACCATGGGTGCTGTAAAGCACCCGAAACGTCGAGATAATAATAAAAATAAATTAAAGTAATTAAACGCGATAATATCCGTAAAAATAGTTTCATTCAATGTGTAGTGTTCGCGTAAATTTAAGAAATCATTAATTAATCCTAGTTATTTGAACGCATTGTGTTCTGTTACTTAAATAAGATTGTATCCATTGGAGTGCAAGTCCTCTAACGTCATATTTTTCAATTTTATTTAGTAACAGTTCGTGGTCTACAAAATCGAATGCTTTGCTCATATCGAAAAAGAGACCAGTCATTTTCATACCTTTATCAATGTTTCCTGTTATGTGCTGAGTTAGTGTGTAATTAGCTAGTGTTTTTGATTTTTCTTTTTGAAAACCGTTTGTTCTTCTCGTAAAATCTTATGTTTATTTAGAAAACTATTCAGTCTAGTATGCATTGCTTTTTCAAGTACTTAAGCTAATATTGGGATAAGAGCAATAGGTCTATAATTAATAATTTATTTTTTGCTGCCCTCTTTACGAATTGGCTTAATCACAGAAATTTTAAGTTTGTTTGGAAAGATTCCACATTCAAACGATATATTAATAATATAAGAAAGAACTGGAGATACCAAATCAGCACAAGACTTTAAAATTTTTGTGGAGATTTCGTCATAACCCACTGAATTGGTATTATTTAATCCTTGTATAATTTTTTTAATTTCTTCTGCAGAGCAGGGTTGCAGAAATATACTGTTATTTTAACATCAACGTACTTTAAGGGACGTGTTTCTCCTGGATCTTTAATCAATGTTTCATTTTTGTGAATCGAAGTAATGTCCTTATTTTTCCGTAAATCATTTGATGACTCTTTGATGAGATTCTTATTTTTGGCTTTAAAAATGAAATTATTGTTTGTGTTGCTTTTTGGTTTAATGATACAAGATTTTAAGATTTTACTATATGTCCTGACATGTGTCTTCCTACTATCTGTTATGTTTAAAAAAAAAATAAAGACATTAATTTTCTTTTTTGTGCAACATGATTTTTTAATTCCCCTTGTGATTCGTTTTGTGACCTTATTTTTTGTAGATTACTTGAGATTATTAGTGTGAGTACTAGCAGTGTCATCTTGTGGTAATAGTTGGGACTTTATGCATTTATTGTTAGTGCATTGGAAATATTGTTCTTGAATTTGGCCATAGGTTTGAGTTTGTTTACTTTGAGTCAAACTATTATTTCTTATCTGTAATTCCTGGAAACTTTTATTAAGTTCCTCTAGTGAATTATCCTTGCGTAATTGTCTTATAACAATTTTTTTTGTTATATTTTTTAGTGCTAATAGTGAATTCGGTAGCAAGTTTATTTTAGGTTTTCCATAGTTTTTAGCTGATCTTTTAATTTTTTAGATAACTTATATATTTCATAGTTTAAGTTATCAATTTCACCATTAGCACTATCCGATTTCTTCTGTAATTTTTTTATTTCTTCCCTAAATTCGTCTATATCACTGTCATAACCAGTCGATAGATCGGGTAGGCTGTGTCTTCTACAATCCGATCTATGTGATATAAAGGAGCAATCAAAAGAATCATTTGTCTTCCGTTTACGAATTGTGATATTGTCAATTTCCATTTTTATTCCTTTTGTAAATATAAATATGATAATAGTCACTTTTTTTGTTATTCCTTATAAATAATAAAAAGAAAGAAAGAAAAAAAAACATAAATTTGTTTCGTAATATCTGTATGGATTTGATACACAGATACAAGTTCTGTTCTCTTATGGTGATTGAGCTATATTAACTACTTGAGAGTTAACGAAATTACTCAATAAATACTTGTTTCTTTTATTTACTAGTTTAGAGTATGTCACTTCACATTTAAATATTTTAACGAAGTATCTCATCTTTTTCAAATGATATTTGCCATATATATAGCATATCAAACATGTTATTTGTCATGTTTATTACAATATCTGTATTAAAAAAGAAGATATTTTCAAAACTGCAATTGTCACACAACATCATCAATTATGTCAAAAGTAGTAAAAACAACTTAAGGAAAATTGTTTAATGATGGAATAAGGGCATTCGATGACATCACAGGTGGAGCTTACTTTTTGAGAGGTTTTCGAAATAAGCTTACAAAAAAATTGAAAACTAAACAAGGAAAAATATATTTTCTATTGACACAAAAATACCATTATTTGGAAAATTTGTGAGTTATCAGAAAGAAAGATTATGTCCAAAACGTACAGTAGCTGTTGAACAATATAAGATATTATCAACACTCACAGAAGTCAGATCATTTTTAGGGTTCACAAGGATGTTTAGAAATACAAAGTATGGAAGAAGGTATGCAAGAAGCCTATCGTCAAGAAGAATATGGGATATAACTGTAAGAAGTTTCTTAACAGTTTTAACTCGCCCATATAACTTTTTATTATGTTTCAAATATTTCAGCGCAATCACTACAGGAAAATGATACAATTTCTTTGAAGAAGAACGGAAGCCACCAATATTAAGGAGGTAAACACAATATCCAGGGATGAGAACAGTGAAGTTGAAATAAAAAATTACACACAATACACAAGGGGAAGAGAAAAGAAAAAACAAGAAAACCAATTACTTGTACAATTTAATTCTTTCTTAAGATAAAAGTCTATATTATTACATATACAATTGGTTATCATTATCATATTGCAACAAAGTGAATGTTATAAACTAATGGTTTCATAAAACAGTTCTGTACAAATTAAGATATTACAAATAAAGTATTAATCTTAATCTATTTAAAAATAATTAAGTAGTCAAAAGGTAAATAGTTAAGTTTCAATTTTGTTTTTGTCAAAAGTAGTGAATAAATGTTTTTTTTTCATTTGTTACATAAATCTTTAAGACAAGAATGATAGTTGAAGAGAGAGTGTAAAAAAATAAAAGAGCATTTACGAAATGAGCGAGATTTAAAATATTACAAAAAATTATAAATCGTAAAGGGCATGGAAAGGATAAAAGTTAAAAAGGAACAAAAGTTACTGTGACAGGTGACGGAAATATGGTAATAATGTAGGTACGAAAGAGAAAGATAGAATAAAGTAGTTAAAAGAGTGTGTAAGCGAGATAGGTTATTATGTCATTACTAGGTTGAAAAGAGAGAATAAATCATAATGTGTATTGGCAAAAAGTGTTTCATTTAATCTCACACAAAAATACATAAATAAATAAAATCCTCACCAGATGAAAGCCCTCGGCAAGGAAGACCAAGCGGCTGGCGGTTAGTTGGAAAGGGAAAGTAACCGGCGCACTGTCGTCTGCATTTGAGTCCAGAGTTGTCCGTCACGGAATCCCAGCTGCCTTAGATGAGCCGACAGGCTGACCGGGACGTTACTGTACCTAAGGCTGGTCTCGAGCGCGCGCGAGCGGCACAGCATCTGCGCGCGGTTCTTGTGTATGATGCGCACGCAACCGGGCGGCTGCAGCCACGCCTCGCCGTCCACTTGCACGGGCACGCACTCTTCGCCCAGGATGTTGATCTGCACGGCGCGGCACTGCGCGATGCGGTGCTTCTGCAGGTTGATCAGTCGTGACGCCGCCATCTGCGCTGACCCGAACACCGCCACCACCTCCAATGAACACGTCAACCTTTATTTTAATAACAACCCACTAGCCCAACGTTTGATGCAATCTTAAAACATATAATGTCTAGATAGATAATTGCGGGCAAATATACGCAGAAATATTTTTATTAAGTACATTTTTTAAAAAGATGCCTATTTTTAACTATATTTTCAGTTCTAAGCTCTATTTAAAGCTCATTAAGAAGTTCGTTTAAAATGGATTGAAATATTTTTACCGAACAAACAAACGACAGATATGGCTGTGATTTTATATTGCATTATCATCTAAAGAGAATCTAAAGTTTTCAATTTCTGACTCATCGGAAAGTTGGCTTAAAGACAAGAAAGCAAGTTAATTAAAATGTGATAAAAAAATAACAGCTATCAGTCAATAATAATGTAACTCTAGTTGGAATCGTAGCTGACTTCGTTTTAACGTTTGATGTTTGATTTCGCTGTATTGTGCTAGTGGCTAGTGGCTTTGTTAGATAGATTTCTTATTTTACATTACAAAGTAATATCGTAATTAATAACATATTCACCTTGGCAATCGATTCCCACTAGAGTTACGCAATCGCACTGCTCTTCACTGGTATGTAATTTTGAAACATCTTGTAGTTTTTACCTCAAGAATTCTATCATCAAACGAAGGAGCAAGAAATATATCGTCAGCCCTGGTTCCACCCCAGAAATTGGTGCCTCCCATGAACGACGAAATATTCAGTACTACGATGCCTTGGAGTTCTGGTAGTGGTATCCTCTGTCCATCGCATTCAAGTTGAACACGTTGTCCAAGATGTCTGAAAATACTTAGTTATAACAAGTGTGGAATATTTTAATATAAATTTAATTGTAATTAAGGACTTGCTAATTCGTGAAAACGTCAAATTGAACGGAAATTATTTACCACTTTGAAGGAATTCGAAGAATAAAATTATTTTTTATAAATAAACGAATAAATAAATAATTTTGCGAATATAAAAGAAGAGAAAAAAGCTCACCTATAAGTTCTATTAACCCATTCCTTAGATCCCAGCACGCCGTACCACATGTAATTTCTCGCCCTGGATCTACATTTCTCTGGATGTTCTTCCCTTTTATTATGAAAGTCCAAGGTTATCTTCGCGTCGATACCAATTCCAAAGTAGTTGTTCATTACGGCTTTCTCATAAAACCCTTCTAAAAGAGTATCATCTGGATCCATCAGTGGACTTACAGCAGCGCACAAAGCGTCGGCGTTAGCCAAAAGGCACTGGCTTATAAATCCTTGTGTGACGTGAGGCCAACTGGGTAGTTGTACAAGAGGATTAATAATTGGCAATTTCTTGGCACGTTCACTCGTCGTATCGGATTTCAAAGAACCCATATTGCCCATGATGCCGCCTTCACCCCATATTGAAGATACTGATGTGGATAACCTGCTTTGATAAACGAAGAAGTTAACGAGTAAGTTGCTTTTCTGCGAGCATTGCGTACTTTTCAAGTGACTTAAAACAAGATATAAATCCGTGCTGAAATTATCGTAAGACCACATACACATGTAAACATGTTTCTAAAACCCTGTTGTTGGGGCACTTAGGTGCATATATGATATACTTATGTGCATGTGTGTCTAGCAGTTAACTTTTACATGATAATAAAGAAAAAAAAGAGAAGAATGTGTGCGTGAGAGCACGTCATGAAGATGAGCTTGGTTTCGGTGTCATTTGAAATGTACGCATCGCTCTATCTTTCTTTGTTGATCTGAGTATTGGATAGCTTTAATCAATAACTTTCTTTCATAATTTAATTTTATCAAAGTAGAACAAGCATTGTCGATGGGTCTGCGCCGAAATCATATAGAAATTTACACATGAGTTCAATATCTTAAGAATTTGTAGGAAAGTGATTTCAATTTTTGAGTTTCCAGGTTGATTTAAAGTTAAAAGAGTTAAAAAACTATTATCAGAGGTGACCTGAATCGTGATCTTAATCTTAGTTAATTTTGAAATACATTACGAATATGTTCATAGTCAGAAATCTTTAAGTAACTTACTTGTCAGGTTCTCCCGGCTTGAAAAGGCTGCCGCACGATATCCGTCTTGTTGCTGCCGGTGAACAACTGAGAAATTTTCCATACTCTGGATCTGAAGAACCTAAAAGCTTCGGGTTATCAGATTGCCTTCTCTCCCGACTGTTTGTAATGTTTGGTTCTGGAGAATGAACACTTAACGTATCAGTTCCTGGCTCGAAGATGTCATTAAGAACCGATGCCATACGACTTTCAGTATTCTTCAGGCTCTTCTTTCCTTCACTTTGTGATGGTGATGGTGGTTCAACTACGACACTAACTTGGGGAAACATCGGCACTTGATCTTTAACTTTAGTAGTTATTTCTTCGTTAAGAAGCATTGTTGGTTTTGAAGAAGCTCGAATAAGAGAATCTTCTTTTGGTGTTTGTTCTTCTGCAGTTTTAGGCAAAAGATGTTTCACAGTACCATCATCGCCTAAACGCTTTTTGACGCTTCTTTTAACTTGCTTTCGAAAAGATTTCCTAGCTATATCGCTTCCTTCTTCAAACTGCGCTAAGCTGCAATACTTGATTTGATCGTCGGCTTTCGGAGCGTTTTCAATGTAGAAGACTCTGTTTTCGAAACCAAACTTTTCCACTTCAGGTTCTTTTCGCTTCTTAATTTTGGAAAAGTGTTTCATTCTACCTTCAGTTTTTCTTTCTAAACTAGGATTTCTGCTATCCATAGGAATGTCCGAAACCGTATCCGAGGTAAACAAGGTTGTATCATCGGTGTAGGTTTCATTATCGCCATTCTTACCCATCATAGCTAAAAGAACTTCCTGTCCAAGCATAGAACTAATATCATCCATAATTGATTCACCATGAATTGTTTCAGAGTTGGCATATGTTGTATCTGATATCTCAGGTGAGTCTATGTGCCCTATACCGCCTTCTACAAGATCCTCCGGTTTAGTGTCAATTATCTCTGATATTAAACTAAAATCTTCACTAATGTTTGACCCCTCTGAACTGCTCGCATCTACTTCCAAATCTACACTAGAAAGCTTCCGTTCTGGCGTGCAATCACCACTAGCTGATGTGATTCTCTCGCTCAATTCTCGGAAGTGAACATCGTCCGTATACGGTTTGTCAATATCTATAATAGTCAATTGGTCCGATTCATAAGTTTCTCCCTGTACTGTCGTATGTCTCTTATCACTATCACTCGAGCTAACTAAATTTGGTACTGTTAAGCTGCTGCTATATGACGGACCTCGATCCGTATCTGGTCTAAAAAGATTTTTGCAGGAGCTAGTATCGCAAGAGGATAAGTTTGATATAGAAAGGCGGTCCCGTGGTGAGGATAAGTTCAATTTGTTAGGATCTGGTTTTTCTACGTGTAGCGTTTGTTGTTGTTGTTCTCCCGGTTGTGAATTCATTAACTTAGCTATGTCTTCATCTACGTCTGGAATGCTATTAAAATAGTTTATTTAGTTTTACTTATATAAATTGTGTTTTACTTGTATAAAGTGAAAAGTAATAATCAATTTACTAATTTATGTTCTTAAAATATATTTAATTGTCTTCTTATGCCTAACTTACGCGATGTCTAAATTAGTTCTTACTTTTCAGAATGTAGAGAGGCGGCTGAGACGGCGGAGGCTGCAGACGAGCGCCGACTGTCTGCGAAGGCTCGAGGTACGGGTAGCGTATCAGTAGCGGTTTCATCGCTTGATGGCCTCAACCCACCCGCTACGCTTGAGTCTCCCCCGCCTCCCCTGCTACTCTCAATGCCCACATTACCCTTATCGCCTTCCCCAGCTATCTCGTTCCAGTCAACCGCCTCCTGCGGTACAGCCTGTGATTAATTATGGAATTTGTACGTGTCAAACTTTCTAGGTGTCTGTAAACATCATTTTTGTGTACATATTTGAAATGCTCCTCAATAAATAACTAAAACTGATGCTACATCAACGCCGTAATATCGGTACCTCAAACCCAATTTATAAATTCTAGACTTTATATTTTACGTGTTACGTGTACTTTGCGTTCCTTTTCTACCCTGAAGTTCATCTATTACCTCCTTATCTATTTTAACCGTATACCAACAACCATATTCAATACTGCATACACCGTTGTGTTCCGGTTTAGTTGAGCAAGGGAACAAATTTATTCATTAGCAAAGTTATTAAGATAAAGATAAAAATGCTACAACGTGGTCTGAAGATAAAAGCTAAGACATAAAATAGAATATAAAAGCGACTTCTTTATTTGAATGAATACTAGTTGTGCTGTTAACTGTTAATTCTGTTAATCATTCCAAGTTATCTAAAAAAGTTGTGTTAAGGGATTTTTGTTTGCGGTCCGCATCTGTTCTCATGTATCTTATCAACATCAGCATAACTTCGATGAGCGAATTACATATAAATTTAAGAATATTTGTATTTGTTCGATATATAAATCAATTAGATATAAATGAATGCTCTAATACACGTGTATGAAAAGTAAAGTGTGTTTATATAGGTAGATAGTCTGCAATTGGAATATTATACTCGTATACATATTTGTACTAAAAGACAGTTAAGTCTATGAAATTTCCGTGTGTATGAGTATACTTGTGTCATGATATCTGTTGAAATGAGTGCGTGCGTGTTGTGTTCTTGGTGGTTATGTTTTGGTGCATGCGTGCGTACTTGCGGGCAGAGGTGTGCGAGCGTCCGCACGAGCGAGCGCAGCGCGCGGCGCACGCTATCGGCGCGGCCGGCCAGCGAGCAGCCGCGAGCCGCCAGATTCAACTGCTCCTGCCACCAACATACACCTTCTTAAACGTTACTTGTACATATATTAGTTTTTACCCACAACAAAAATACACACACACACATAAACTTAATACAATGCAGATATAAAAAGTACTTATAATTCGACCACGGTGCTACTTACCGGCTCCAAAAAAATCATAAAATTATTTTTACTCAATGTCTAGTATTCGTGTATCATAAGAAATCATTATGTCATTTTGTCATTACGAGTATATTATGTGTCTAATTTTCTTAAAATATATATCTAATATGACATTTCACAAGTTTCCCTATTATGCAAAAAGAGAAATTTGAAAAATTCTTAATACCTTAAAAGTGTATAATAATACTACTTTCAAATGTTTTATATTGTCAAAACATAACTTATACCCATTGAGCTATTATGTACTACGTACTAGAGGCGTCACTGCATTCAGCTACTCTGTTCCACTCAACTGCGGTGCATACACCGCACTTTAATCAGTCACTCGCTAGGCGCTTGTAGAGTTGTCAAGTGTTGTGTTGATTTAAAAAAATCTCTTGATAAAAATATGCCGTCGTATGTACTTAGATATTGCACAAATGATTCGAAAAATGTCATTAAAACCAAGGAATTACTTTTCATCGGTTAATAAGATACTTAATCAATAAAAAAGTATTATAGATTAATAATAAAACAAATTATTCCTAAGACGCCATCTCGTGTCCTGGAATATATATTATGAAATTAATATGTTCAGATGCGACATTTCTGTGGGTACCTAAGTATAGGACGAATATATTAATATAATTAATATATTATTAAATAATTTAATAAACATTTCTTGTAGAAACATATATAAGTTATTATAATTTGGCTAAATTTTTCATGTTTAAATATGCTTATTATTCTTTTATTTTATATTTATGTTTCCACATCAAAGTTTATGTGGAATAAATTCGTCCATTTCTAACTCTCGCGTGCCCAGCATATATGAACGACTCTTATTCTAATTTAAATAAATATATTTGTTATTTAAATGTTATGATTTTAATAAGTTTTGTTAAACATACATTTAGTATGTTTTTTATATTTCACATAGATACCTTTTAAAATATTCAGATAAAAATATCATTAAAATGTAATTATGATATAAGATTATGTAATATTATTAAATAAGCAAATATAATATACAAAATAAAACATGAAATTTAAATATTGTTCTCGATATAATTTACCTATTTAACAATAAAATCTACTATTACCTACTGACGATTCTACCTATATTATTCTATGATAAAAAAACAACCGCGCGAACACAGAGTAGCGCACATTTTTTGTTTGAGATAGCTATTCATGTACATATTACTTCAATGCTTATATCTAAATATTTCGATGATTACCTTTTCAGTCTTTTCGATGATGCCCTTCTCAGCAACAGGTTGAGTTTCCGGCTCGCTATCGCTGGTTGTCTCCATCGGCTCCCATGACCTAGGACAAGCATTGTTATTGGGACATGCTTAACAATTTTCAATATTTACTTTAGTTTGCTATTAATATAACTTATCAAAATCACATTTATCATAATAAAGACTGAAGAATTATTAAAACTGTAGAATAAATAAAACAATTTTATAAACTCATGCTAATGAAATATCTTATTCATTGGCATAGATTTTCACTAGGTTAATTAAAAAGTTATGTTAAACAATATAATTTTCTTCGAATATTATAATATAATTTGACTTTTTATAAAAGTACATACCGAATTCAAAAATAAGTCTAGAATGCCGTCTAAATAGTTACATTATAATATTCATCCCCTATTTTTACACCCTTAGGGAAGATTTTTTTTAAATTTATATGGAATCATCCCTGGAATATAAAGTTATTTATAAAAAAATCAATTGAATCGATTCGGCCGTTTTCGGGAAATCAAAAGCAAATGAATCATATATAGTACTTTCTCTTTTTTTAGAACTTGGTTAAGGACAAGAAAATTATTACTTTTCATATTTTTTGTTTTTTTTTTGGTTTTGTTATTATTATCCAAGATGGATTATACTTAGAGGTACATATTACTGTAACATTCAAAAGGTTGTTACAGGGTTCGTTGCCGAGCCCTCTGATATTTCTTTTATATATTTTAGAAAAAAAAGTTAAGTTAAATAACTTAGATGATAATAATTTACTATTAAATGACTACAAAATGAAAAGAAAATGGCTCAAAGAGTGCATAATATTATTTCATGCCATAGTGAATTAAATCTATTTTAGGGCAGAGGACATTTATATAAGCTTCTAAACTATATGTGGGTATAACTACAATTACGTTGAAAAAGATGAAGAAAGATCAGTTTTTCACACTTCTGTTAGACACATTTGAATATCAATCACATATCTGAAATCATGTTTATTATAGATTTTCCTTATATCCTTTTATCAGAAATTATCTAGTTTGGGCCACTACCACTATTTCTATTTTTATATAACTCTATAGTAGAAAAAAGCTACTGATTTTCTCTTGTAGACGTGTAGAAGGTGCTTTAGGCAGTGAGGGTTAGACGTATTTACATAAATATGTGATTCTAATGAGGATATGACAGCTGACCTGCACAACACACGGTCGTGTGTTGGACTGCTGCAATGGCAACCAAATCACGTCCCGAGGCCCAAAAACAGAAGTAAAATATAAATGCTTTTAGTGGATTGTTTTTGATTTAATATTATTATAATACTAAATTAAATAAACAGTTACAATAACGTTAAGTATAAAACTTAGTATGTCTGACATATATGTATGTAGTTTAATTAGTGTTTACGTTGAAGAGGTTTGCTCCAGATATGTTATGATCGATCGTTGCACGAATGGGCCGGTCCAATTAAGTAATGTGTTCTCACAGAGCAGCAGCTTCTATTTCACTAGCTGCTTAATTTTGCTGTGTGCATGGTGAGTGTAGAGAACCGGAGACCTGTTTTACTGGAAACGAGGCATTTTGTCTTAGTTCTTCTGGTGTTCTAACTCATTCCGTATTTTGATTCTTAATCGACGATAGATGTCTAGATGTTTATGGGACACAGCATCCACTTATTATCAGGTGGTGCTCGTTTGTCTCCAATATCTATATAAAAATGTTATTTTACTATTTGCATTTAAGAAAATATTTGTGTTTTTTATTTATATATAAATGTGAGAACCACATTTGTATAAATACATAAAATACCATAATTCAAATTATTTAGTTTTTAATTTTGAAATTTTGATGTAATATGAAAACCCACTGGTATCATATTCCAGTCAAGGTTTGTTATATTAAGGTATTCTTTTTATTATAGTCAACCAAATCTAAGAAATACCTTTTGACGTTTCGCATTAATCATTCCGCAATAACTTTACACCAGCGTACTCACACGATTTAAAATAACCTTTTATGTAAATCCGAAGAATTATAAAGTTATCTACATTTCCTTACAAAGTGTATAGTTTTTTATCACTAATTTAAATTTGAATCTTTCAAACAAAGCAAGATATTAAAAAATAACCAGTATCAACTTTTTTTATTTGACGTCGTTTCAACGATACGTCGCTATGTACATTACCGTAGTGCTTGGATGATTAAAATTCATTGTTATGCGAATAATCGGCAAAAATATTCAAATAATCGGTAAAAATATTCAAATAATCGCATCATTAATTATGTTATTTTATTATTTGTTTAATTTAATTATTAATTTTTAAAATTCCTTAAGTTACATGAATCATGAATAAAATAAGTTTATTTTTTTTAATTTGTCAACGTAAATTTGTGTAGGCAAAAAACTCATATTCAAGGCTGCGCTGAAAAAAATCATTACGTAATTTCAATATCCGCCATTTTGGGTGCTTACTATGCGTAATTTTGTGATTTTGTGTTTGCCTTCTTATTTTGTGACTGCTCTTGAACTATTTGGACTGTTTCTTCTATATACGTTTAAGCACATTCCCATGTCATAAAGGATCATTGGGCAAAAGTGGTAGAAAAAAAAAACAAAAAAAATTTATTATGGATGACTTTGAAACATTAATTTTGACTGCATTGTTGAAAAACAAATAATAATTAATCTAAACAAAACAGATCAACTAGTTGTACTGAAAGTGATTGAATAAATTTATTTTTAATCTAGTTTTAATCTTAAATTTTTATAACTGTGCCTCTAGAAATAAGCAGTAACAACAAATACGTATAAACTGATAAATCTTGTGTTTTAAATTATCCATTTTTAATTTATTCTGGTATTATTCAAACCAAACTGTGTAAATAATTAGCAACCTAAATAATCGATACCATTTTTTTTAAGAATTGAATATTGTACCTTCCCAATTTTTTTGATTGGCATGCCTGGTGCAATAAGTCTGACAGCTGTCAAAATGTATTTCTTAAATTTGGTTGACTATAATTCTACATATTTATTTATCTATGCTATAATTACACTTCTACTCGTGACATCAGGTCGCTAGTACTGATTTTGTATTTTGATGTTTTATATTGCGTTTATGATGTCGAACAAACATTCCAAATTACGTTACAATTCTTTAAATTGGTTCTAATAAAGGTATCACTTTTTGGTACGGTTGTGGTTTAGGTGTCGGTTTTAGTTTAGTAAATATTAAGTTTAGTTTTTAAAAAGGAGAAAAAAATTATTAAAACATTTGCATATCTTAAATAGTATGTTAGTTGCATAACAATATTATTAAAACGACTGTATTGTAACATTTTTTTATTGTTAGACTCTCTTTTTCCGCTATAAACTAATGTTTATAGCTTTGAATTTTTCGTTAAATGCTCTGTGATGCTAATTCTATATCAATATTAATTGATATAGAATTAGCATCACAGAGCATAAATAAAAGATGACTGCTTTTGAAAGCATTCGCCGTTTATTTTTATAGAATAAGGGTGACAAACGACCACACAGTCAATCTGATAGTAAGTGGATGCTGTGGCCCATAGACATCGACATATATCCTCGATTATGGATCATTCATTTTTTACGTGTTAGAAGCTATGCTGCAGATATATTGTGGTTGCAGCACGAATGGGTCGGCTCGACCGGGGTAAAAATAGCAGCAGTTTCGTATGGTGAATGTAGAGAAAATAATATAAAAAAGAAAGGTGAATGACCTGCAGCGCGTGTGGTCGTGAGCAAGGTGCGTGCGCGCGTGCAGGAGCAGCGACAGCGCGCGCCGCAGCCGGTGCGACGCGCGCGCCGCGCTACCGCCCGCGCGCTCACCCGCCGCCGCCAGCCGCAGGCAGCCGGCGCGCAGCGCCGAGCTCGCCGCCGGGCTCACCTCGCCCGCCTGTGTCGCACCCACAGCGCCAACCGATAGGTTTTTTAATAATAGTTTTTTAACATTCGATTTGATAAACCACATATCCTCGCAAAAGAACACCGATTCCTACCAAGGATGATACGCGAGGCTATTGAAATTAAAAAAAAACATCCAAATTTCAATAGAGAAGATGGATGGGTGCTGCCAGCTGTTGGGATCCTATAAATAACAAAATTAAACCCAAACCCAAGCATACCATGCAAGACTTCATGATACTATAGGCTCGTTTTGCGTAAATCGGACCAAAAATTAATATTAAAAAAACTGAAGGTAGCCGGACTAACTATGACATTGGGACGTCAAACATCTAAGTCCCCCCGTGACCATGGGTGCTGAAAAGCACCCGAAACGTCGGGATAGTAAAAATAAATTAAAGTAATTAAACGCGATAAAATCCGTTAATAATAGTTTTATTCAATTTGTAGTGTTCGCGTAAATTTAAGAAATCATTATGTGAACCAGTACGGACTGGTAATAGCAAATAAAATTCGCCGATTAGAAGATCTTAAAACCAAGCGCACAAGATATATAACATATTTAAATTTCTTGAAGAGATGCAGAGACCATAATCTCATTCCTACGTGTGTCAAAATATCAACAAAAAAGGACATTCGAGGAATCGCTAAGATCTTAAATCAGGCAAGTAAAAAGTTGTTACGAACGGTGATTCAGCAGAAACTCTTCGATTTACATTTCATAAATAACACAATAGACAATTTGTCTAGTGAATTATAGACAATTCTAACGACATTTGATTTTAATAATTGCATCGAAACTTTAAACAAACGGCAAACATCGAAATACAATGAATGCAAAAATAAACAAATAGAAAAATACCAAAAATTAACGATCAAATCAAATCAAACATCCAAGTCAACGCCAGAACGATATACAAACGTTGACCATAGACTCAAACTGTAAACAACGCACGGTCTATAATTTGTCAAAACATACAATGGACGAACCGACAATGAAAGTATTAACGAAGGGAATGAACTTCGCATTAACACTGCGAAAAATCCCGTACGAAAAAATTATCTGCAGTGTCGAGGATTGTATGTTTAAAAATAATATCGGTAAGGAAGATTTAGAGGCCATACGTCAAGATATTTCGTCCTTGTTACGTCGTAGTTCAGTTCCGAAACCAAACCATCCTAAAGACGAATTTACAGCGCTGAGTAACTTACGGAACAAACCAAAGCTCACGATTCTCCGAGCGGATAAAAGAAATGCTACGGTTATAATGGACCCGTCGGAATATAGTTTTAAAATACAACAACTGTTATCGGATGAAAGTACATATAAAAAGGTCAAAACAGACCCCACAACTAACACGCTTAAAACAACTATAAAGAAATACTCCGAAAAATTAAATCTCGACGTGAATTCGCTAATACCATCATATACCAAACCACCGAGGTTGTATGGGTTACCGAAGATACACAAACCAAACGCTCCACTACGTCCCATAGTGAGCCAGATCGATTCACAAACTTATAAGCTGGCACAACATTTAGTAAAAATACTATCACCACTGAGAGGACATACCAGAGCACACACAAAGGATTCATACCATTTTGCGAGTGAGATAAAAGACCTACATCTCGCTGACAATGAAACTATGGTCAGTTTTGATGTTCAGTCACTATTTACATGCCTACCTATTGTTGACTACATCTCAATTGTAACTAGGAAGCTAGAAGAAAATAACATGCCTCAAGAATATGCAATATTACTTGAACACTGCCTCTCATTTGGCTATCTATTGTGGAAGGAGGAGTTCTAGAAGCAAGTAGATGGTGTGGCGATGACCTCACCTTTGTCTCCCATAGTCGCCGACATATTCATGGAGGACTTTGAGGAGAAAGCCCTTCTTACTGCTGCTGTAAATCCAAGGGTCTACAAGCGGTACGTAGACGACACTTTCACAATCTTAACATCTGACAAATTAACTGTATTTTTTAGACCACCTTAACTCCATAAACTCTAAAATACAATTCACAATGGAGTTAGAGGCAAATAATCCTTCCTAGATGTTTTAGTCATCCGAAATCCTGACAACACTATTGGTCACACTGTGTATAGGAAGGAGACCCATACGAACCGATATCTAAATGGTGAATCACACCATCATCCATCACAGTTAGCTACCGTGGGTAAATCTTTGTTTCAGAGAGCACGAGGGATCTGTGATAGAAAATATCTGGCCGCCGAGCTTCAGCATGTCCAGCAAGTATTGCAAGACAATAAGCTTCGGGTCCCGCGCCTACGTCACAGTGAACGAGTGAAGCCGGCCACAGTCGAGCGCGCGCCTGCTGTACTATCGTATGTCAGGGGAGTCACAGACAAGATTGGCTACATCTTGAAGCGAGCGTCCATTAAAACATACTACAAGCCGCCGAAGAAGATTAGTAAATTTTTACCATCCATCAAATTTAATATTTCTCTGCAGGATGCAGGTGTGAACAAGCTAGATTGTGAATGTGGTCTCTCTTACATAGCTCAAACAAAAAGATCTATAAAAACCCAAAAGGAACATATAGCTGACGTGAAGCACCGACGCTCCGGGAAGTCTGCAGTCTGCGAACATGTTCAAGATCGTCCCCACCATTACATTCGATTTGATAAACCACATATCCTCGCAAAAGAACACCGATTCCTACCAAGGATGATACGCGAGGCTATTGAAATTAAAAAAACATCCAAATTTCAATAGAGAAGATGGATGGGTGCTGCCAGCTGCTTGGGATCCTATAATTAACAAAATTAAACCCAAACCCAAGCATACCACTGCAAGACTTCATGATACTATAAGCTCGTTTTGCTGGTTAGTATTCAAACACTGAAGGTAGCCGGACTAACTATGACATTGGGACGTCAAACATCTCAGTCCCCCCCGTGACCATGGGTGCTGTAAAGCACCCGAAACGTCGGGATAGTAAAAATAAATTAAAGTAATTAAACGCGATAAAATCCGTAAATAATAGTTTTATTCAATGGTATATTAATTTTTATATATTTGAACTTAAATATAAAATTTGTATACTCTTAAAAAAATAATACCCTTTATATTTATTACCCACCTGCATAATATCCTGCAAGTTCTTTAGAAGCGTGGACTCATCGAGCAGATCAGGCGGTACAGGGGGCGGCGGTGGTGCAGTCAGTGCTCGCTCGAACGTCATGATCGACCACCTGGCATTTACGAACAAAACATATCGCAACATATCGATTTTTACTATGCAACTTGAGCGAAACCTTAACGGATTTCTAATGCATTACGTCTGCCACTAGTATCAAAATTGTTTTCTCCTATTCAGTGGAAACTTGCTTTTCTTAGGCTGGACTGAACTCTTGTTTATATTTGTAATTAAGAACATATTTATTTGTTACAATTATTTAATATGAATTAGGAATAAAAATGAAAATAATTATTTTAAAATAAAGGCAAAAAGGCTAACGATTCGGCATAATGCAACATCAATAGAATTACTGCAGTGTTAATAATGGTGATTGTAATGACGATGATGAATCGGTGTGCATGATTCAAGCTAATCGTGAATGTTAAGCGGTGTAAGAATATCTACTACCCCATATCGTCCCGTGGGTGAGTAAGAGAGAGTAAGAGGGATAGAAGAAATTGAAACAAGAGATGGGCAGCAGTATCTTCCTGACAAAAAATCGAAATATTTAACAGAAACAGAAACATTTTTATTCAATGTAGATTATAACAATACTTATTGAAAGTCACTTTTTTCATTTACCATTGGTTCGCAAAAAAACCTCTGTCCTGGGAAGAACCAGCAAGAAACCCAGCGGGACTATTTTTTTTCAAATGACAGGTTACAATCATGTTTACAATCAACAACACAATACAAATTAGAAATAGCTTGCTAGCGATAACCCTTCCCAGGGGTTATTATCATCCATAAATTCCTTAATATTATAATAACCTTTTTTATACAAACTTAGTTTAATAAAATTTTTGAATTTTGTGTATGACAAATTTTGTATATTTTCTGGGATTTTGTTGTAAAAGCGTATACATCGCCCCAAGAATGAATTACTGACTCGGTGGAGTCGAGTAACTGGTACTACTAGCTTATGTCTGTTCCTAGTATTTACAGAATGAATATCACTTGTTTTCGCAAATCTACTTTTATTTTTGTGTACATACATTACATTTTCATAAATGTATTGAGAGGCCAGAGTTAATATATTAATTTCCTTAAATTAATAATTTATATCTCACTGACTCTTTTGGTTTTAAATTATATATTGCTCTAATGACCCTCTTCTGTAAAATAAATATAATTTCAGTGTCAGTCGCGTGTCCCCATAGCAAAATACCATACGACATAATGCTATGGAAATAACTAAAGTAAACTATTCTAGCTTTTTCAACACTGGTAAGAGTTCTAATCTTTTTTTACAGCATATGCTGCAGAACTAAGTCTGCTAGCTAGTTTTGATATATGGGGGAGCCATTGAAGCTTTGCATCCAGTGTGATTCCAAGAAAAATGGTGGTATCAACAAGACTCAGTTCCTCCCCATTTAAAAATATATTATTAGTATTGACATGACTAACATTAGGAGTTACGAATTTCATACATTTAGTTTTAGTTCCATTCAAATGCAAATTATTAACATTAAAGCAATTAACTAACTTAGCTATAGCATTATTTACTTCGTCCTAATTTAATAACTGTTGTTTAATTTGAAAATTAATGAAGTATCATCAGCAAATAATACTATATCATGGGTATCCCCCTACTATGTAAGGTAAGTCATTAATATATACAAGAAACAGAAAGGGGCCAAGAACTGAGCCCTGAGGTATGCCCATTTGTACAATCGACCCGGAAGAACTCATACTATTAATGACAACTTTTTGCGTTCTGTCACTTAAATATGAATAATTAATTTAAGAGCATCGCCTCTTACACCGTAGTGTTGAAGTTTCCTGATTAATGTTTCATGGTGAACACAATCGAAGGCTTTGGATATGTCACAGAACACACCCAAAGCATCAGGTGAATTCTCCCCTGCATTAAATATATATTTAATCAGCTCAACAACAGCATCAGTTGTCGAGCAACCCCTTGTTAAACCAAATTGATTTTATGCAGTAAATTATTAACATTAAAAAAAAATTAACATTTGATCAAGAATAATTTTTTCAAAAATTTTACTAAGTGTTGGCAGTACAGAAATAGGTCTAAAATTAGCGGGGTCCAATGTACTACCAGATTTAAATAAAGGTATTACTTTACTATGCTTCATTAAATCAGGAAACACACCAAATTCGATACTAGTATTAAAAATAATAGATAGTTGAGGTGCGATTGTATCTTTTATATTCTCAATAACTTTAACGGAAATCCCCCACAGATCGGCGGTTCTCTTAATATCAATAGTCTTAAAATATTTAACAATATCTTTTGATGACATTTTATGAAATGTAAAATTCTTTGTACACACATTTACATTTTGTTTAAGTAATGATTCGGCGACGGCAGGAGAAGAATTCAGTGACTTAGTGGTTAAGATCGGAATATCAGTAAAATATTTCTCAAAAACCATTGCAACGTCCTGATCTGATTTGGTTAATTTATTGTTAAAACTTAACTGGTAGTTTGAATAGCGAGAGTTGACCTTACCAGATTCACTATTAATTATACTCCATGTCATTTTAATTTTATTAGAAGCAGTCTTTATTTTGTTGCTCAAATACATTGACTTGGCTAAGGAGCACACTCTTTTAAAAATTTTGGAATATTTTTTTACATATTCTCTAAATTCGATGCTAGGATTATATAACCTTTCGTTGTAAAGTTCATATAACCTTTGTCTACTCTTATGGACTCCTACTGTCGCCCATTCATTAAATGCCTTGCGATTGTTCAAGGAGAATGTTTTAGAAGTAAAAGTATTATAAAATTCATTGCAAATGAGCTTAAATAATATTCCATACAAAAAATTTGGATTATTTTGGTATGAAAGTAATGGAAGTTTTTTACTATGTTACTTCTAAACTTCTCCAAGCGATGTGCATTTACTGGAACACAACTACTACTAAAACACTACTTTTTTATCTACTTGCTTTTTGTGAACATAAGGTAATGAATCTAATTGTCCACAGTGATCAGAGCTCAATTTTTGAATTATACATTTATTGAATGGCTTAACATTTGTAAAAATGTTATCTATATATGTTGCACTAGATTCAGCAATACGTGTTGGCTCCAAAAATAAATTAAAAAGACCATAAGATTTAAACAATGATCTAAATTTAATATTGGTGGAGGAAGCTTCTAGGAGATTGATATTAAAGTCTCCACATATTACAACAGATTTATTCTGTTTATTAAGCTTAGCGAAAACTTCCTCCATAATTTTTTCAAAAATATCATATAAAGAACATGCGATTTCTACAGTTCGCTCAACAGAGAGGCTCACAATATCTTTACGTTCTTTACATGATAATAATTTACTAGCTAAAATTATGGAGCCACCTCTTAAAATTGTTTTTCTATTGAAAGAACTGACCACCTTGTGATTACTGAAGTTAAGCATTAAATTATGAGCTTTCAACCAATGTTCAGTAATACATAAAATATGAATATTGTTGCTATTTAAGAACAATTCAATTTCTAGCTCTTTGCCTATCATGCCTTGTATATTCTGATGCACCAGGTGTAAACAATTTTTATTATAATTTTGTGGAAATATACAATTGCAACTATTAAGGATTTGTAAGCTACATTCTAAATTATTTAAATTATTATAACTGCTAGAGATTACCTCTATTGTCTCATTTTCTAATTTAAATTACTTGGAACGGATTCCAAATTGCATGTCAAATCATTATGCTGCTCAATAGGAGCAGAAGTCTGGGTAGCGAAGTCCTTGACTGAGTTAATATATAAATAATAAGACAGCACATTTGCTATCTGTCTTAAATTATATTTGGATAGGTAATACCTATCTGTAGTCAAAAATTTCTTAATTAAATTATTAATATCTATTAAATTAATTCTATTGGTGTAATTATTACCATTAAATGTCAAATTTAAATTATTGTTACATGATAAATTATTTATAATAAATTTAAATCATATCTTATTTTATTCTCCTGTGGCCAACCCTGTATGTAAGGCAATGTAAACAAGATCATTTTATATACATTTAAAGTATTGAGGTAATCAATATATTTTAATAATTGATTTTTGTTTACATTGCCTTTTCTCCCAACAAGAATTATTAATGTGCTATTAGGACAAAACTTACTACTTAAAAACTTTATTCATTATATGACTAAAGAATGCTCCAGGCATACAATAATTACTAATCAATTGCCCTTTTAAATGGTTATTTAACTTCCTGGCCAAATTTTTACCTATGTCATCACAATACACTATAACTTTATGTCTTTTAATATTCAAACTACCTTTTAAGTTTTTATTCTTTGTTATGGCACCGTCATAGAGTGTTGGGAAAATAAGGAGTCTGCTTTTTACACATATTGTCCCCGATGAACATGCTATGGAGCGTTGATTCTCACTCTGATGTTTTATTAAGGAGTCAAAGCACTCCTCATTGTATTTACATGACTTTACCAGATCATTCATGGCCAATATGTGTTCTTTTATCTCAACCTGAGTCGATGCATATTTATTTGAGATAATTTGTAAGGAGTTTTTAAGCGACAAAACTTCTGAATTGAGACACTCTATTTCAGTCTCATAACAGTTTTTCATATTTTCCACCTCCAAATGTAAAAGGTAAATCTTAAAATATAAAAGGGATAACAAGAATTACAATAACTTACAGAATGTTCAAACGATGTTCGTTACAGCTGTCACTTTTAGTTGAACCACAAAACAATATTTAATTAAAATACTTATGACTTTTATTTATTTTACAAACACAATTAAGCCAACTGTAATTAGAAATTGAGGTGAATATTATCAATTTACAATATTTAATTTTACTAAATAGTTGGGAGCTATTATTTTACAACTTATCCCTGGGGTTGCCACAGAGTAAGTCGTTAAAAAGTGCAGTTGGCAACCTATCTGCCAAGCGTGGCTACAATGGCAAATATCCTCTCTATAATAAAATCTATTGAGGAAGGCCTGCGTTTAGCTGGATGGCTTGAGGACTGCGATGTTGATGATGACGATAATTTTATCTAGAATTTATAAAATGCTTCTTACGAGCACCCTCTACATTTCAATATTTAAGGAACTTTACTTGGTACAACAATACTACTTATATGACTGCAGCATGGCAGCTATATAAGTAATATTGTTGTAGCACAAATAGGTAGAGTGAGATCTTGACCGGGGGAAGGAACACGCTCTCACGGAATAGCAGCGTAAAATATTTTTTTATTTTTTATATGAAATAATGGTGACGAACGAGCATCAGTCCACCTGTTAGTAAGTGGATGCTGTGGCCCATGGACATCTCCATTTATCCTCAATTAAGATCAAAATGCAGATGCGTTGTCACCCCTGAGGACTAAGATGGAATTCCTCGTTTCCAGTAAAACGGGTCTCCGGATACACTCACCATACGAAACACAGCAGCATTAATCTTATATTTTATTATATTAGATATAAGAGCTATTACATTCCCCGGTCAAGCCGACTTATTCGTGTTACACGACGTACGTACGCACGTCCACGCATGCACGCACGGACACACGCACGCACACCCGCACACACGCACACACACACATTTTCTGTAGCATCTTATAATTAATGCACAGAGAAAATTAATTTAAATAATTAATGAGATATCATTGTGTGTCTGTGTCTGTGTCTGTGTGTGTGTCTGTGTGTGTGTCTGTGTGTCTGTGTGTCTGTGTGTGTGTCTGTGTGTCTGTGTGTGTGTCTGTGTGTCTGTGTGTGTGTCTGTGTGTGTGTGTGTGTGTGTGTGTGTGTGTGTGTGTGTGTGTGTGTGTTGTGTGTCTGTGTGTCTGTGTGTGCTGTGTGTCTGTGTGTCTGTGTGTCTGTGTGTCTGTGTGTCTGTGTGTCTGTGTGTCTGTGTGTCTGTGTGTCTGTGTGTCTGTGTGTCTGTGTGTCTGTGTGTCTGTGTGTCTGTGTGTCTGTGTGTCTGTGTGTCTGTGTGTCTGTGTGTCTGTGTGTCTGTGTGTCTGTGTGTCTGTGTGTCTGTGTGTCTGTGTGTCTGTGTGTCTGTGTGTCTGTGTGTCTGTGTGTCTGTGTGTGCTGTGTGTCTGTGTGTCTGTGTGTCTGTGTGTCTGTGTGTCTGTGTGTCTGTGTGTCTGTGTGTCTGTGTTGTGTGTGTGTGTCTGTGTGTCTGTGTGTCTGTGTGTCTGTGTGTCTGTGTGTCTGTGTGTCTGTGTGTCTGTGTGTCTGTGTGTCTGTGTTGTCTGTGTGTCTGTGTGTCTGTGTGTCTGTGTGTCTGTGTGTCTGTGTGTCTGTGTGTCTGTGTGTCTGTGTGTCTGTGTGTCTGTGTGTCTGTGTGTCTGTGTGTCTGTGTGTCTGTGTGTCTGTGTGTCTGTGTGTCTGTGTGTCTGTGTGTCTGTGTGTCTGTGTGTCTGTGTGTCTGTGTGTCTGTGTGTCTGTGTGTCTGTGTGTCTGTGTGTGTGTGTGTGTGTGTGTGTGTGTGTGTGTGTGTGTGTGTGTGTGTGTGTGTGTGTGTGTGTGTGTGTGTGTGTGTGTGTGTGTGTGTGTGTGTGTGTGTGTGTGTGTGTGTGTGTGTGTGTGTGTGTGTGTGTGTGTGTGTGTGTGTGTGTGTGTGTGTGTGTGTGTGTGTGTGTGTGTGTGTGTGTGTGTGTGTGTGTGTGTGTGTGTGTGTGTGTGTGTGTGTGTGTGTGTGTGTGTGTGTGTGTGTGTGTGTGTGTGTGTGTGTGTGTGTGTGTGTGTGTGTGTGTGTGTGTGTGTGTGTGTGTGTGTGTGTGTGTGTGTGTGTGTGTGTGTGTGTGTGTGTGTGTGTGTGTGTGTGTGTGTGTGTGTGTGTGTGTGTGTGTGTGTGTGTGTGTGTGTGTGTGTGTGTGTGTGTGTGTGTGTGTGTGTGTGTGTGTGTGTGTGTGTGTGTGTGTGTGTGTGTGTGTGTGTGTGTGTGTGTGTGTGTGTGTGTGTGTGTGTGTGTGTGTGTGTGTGTGTGTGTGTGTGTGTGTGTGTGTGTGTGTGTGTGTGTGTGTGTGTGTGTGTGTGTGTGTGTGTGTGTGTGTGTGTGTGTGTGTGTGTGTGTGTGTGTGTGTGTGTGTGTGTGTGTGTGTGTGTGTGTGTGTGTGTGTGTGTGTGTGTGTGTGTGTGTGTGTGTGTGTGTGTGTGTGTGTGTGTGTGTGTGTGTGTGTGTGTGTGTGTGTGTGTGTGTGTGTGTGTGTGTGTGTGTGTGTGTGTGTGTGTGTGTGTGTGTGCGTGCATGCGTGCGTACGTACTTAACACTAAGTCGGCTTACATGTAATAGCTCTTATATCTATAATAAAATAAAGATTAATGCTTGTTTCGAACATGGTGAGTAGACAGACAGGCAGACAAAAATATTTTTTTGTCAGATGTTTTAATTTTAGATATTACAGACAGACACTTCAACTTTATTTATTTAGATAATATACATTAACTTGTAAAATTCATCAATATTTGCTTCCTACTACATTACATTGTATATCTGTTTCTTACTTACTTCCTTATTATTATACGTTAATAAAACAAAGGAAATTTTATATAGGATTAAAATGTACAGGATCTTATTTCTATAGTTGTAACGTTACATAACAATAACTTGTGTATTTTTATGACTTGCTTACTAAACTCAACCATAATCTGCGACTTGTTGGACATGTTTGTCCAACAAGTCGCACATACATTTAAATAAATTGAGAAAGATGTAGTATCACGAGTAGAAAACGCATAGCCTGAGAGCAGGTAACAAATTTTTGGGAATATTATTATTATTTTATTTTTTATCGTAATAACTAAAAACCGTACAAAATGTATGACTTTTATAGTATTTGTGATCAAATATGTACATAAAATTTTTATTATAACAAAATCGTAGTGAATAATTGCACAAAATTTTTTGTATTAAGCGGGCGAACTGAGACTGATCTCTCAGTCTGATATAATTATGTAACTAAAATTATAAACTGCAATTTTAAGTATCTAAAATTCTATTATCAAGAGCACGGTGATCAAGAAAAAAATCGAAAAAAGCCTGCATGTAGGGTAAGTTAAATAATTTTTTTTAGGATTACTTAACTTTAGTATTTTTTATATTCACGGACAGCACGACGGCGCCGTCTTGTCTTACTGTTTGCCAATTCATAAGTGTTATTTCGCAATTCTCATATGTTTGAGGAATAAAAATATTGAGAAAACATGTAAAGTCCACAAAAACGCACTAAGATAGCACGGTGCATTTTTTGCTCCATAATATTCACCTACTTGCACCCAGTAGTGGTACGAAAGAATAAAGATTGCATCATTTTTATATAATGATTTCTTTAAATCACGGTATATATTGACTTCATTTTTATGTTTTATGTATATGTAGTAGTTACTCTTACCGATCCAACATCTTGGTGGATGCTCGCTCGTATCGCTCCAGCAGCTGTTGTAGATTGGCAGCGTCGTCACAGGATGCGCCCCAGCCTAACACGCGAGCCAGATCGTTACCCGTGCCGAGCGGGAGCACTGCCGTTTGCACTTGACGCTGCGTTTTGAAACAAGTGCGTTTGATATTTTTTTATGGAAAAAGGGGCAAACGAGCATGCGGCTCAACTGATGGTAAGTGACTAGCGCCACCCATGAACAACCGCAACACCAAGGGTACTGCAGGTGCGTTACCGGCCTTTTAGAAAAAAGTAAGCTCTTTTCTTGAAGGTTTCTAAGTCGTGTCGGTTCGAAAAAATCGCCGATGGTAAATAATTCCACAGGGAAATTGCACGAGGAAGAAAACTTGTAGTAAAACGCACAGTGGTGTACCACCAGTATCCAGCTGGTGAGGATGATATCATAAATTTGTGCGTTCGTGAATTAATCCGTAAAATTCTTCAGAGCTCTCTTCGTGGTAGTATAAATTTGTTTTGAAAGTATGTAACTATCAATAACAATGTGTTCTGAATCGAAATGGTGGCCTGTCTCAATGGAGACTAGCATAGGATCTATGCAGGACAGAATTATAGTGAGTGTGTGGGTAAAAAAAGTACGACGCCGATAGAATGGCAATCAGACACCAACGGATAGAGATCAGGCGTGTAGATAACAGATTTACGCGCTTCTCGAGGCATAGGGTAAAACACAACCAACTTGGTAAATACAGTCTGTCACTGAGGATTTCTTTACAGAAGAACAAAAGTAGCACATACCATTAAACTTTTTAAAGGTATGAGTTAATTAAATTAAGAAATTGTATAAAAGATTGAGAATAAAGTATTGTTGCAAGAGATGAAAATTTTGGTTATTATACACTTTTCAAGCAAGGTTGAGGCTTGTGTGCTACGCTTATCTGCTTAATTACTTTTACTCACATGCATGTCCAACTTGTCAATCTCTTGTAGCACCCAGCCCACGGAGCCATCTCCACTGCACACCAATACCCTTAGTGGGGCGAAGTGTCGAAACAGCCTCAGCCCAAGCCGAGGCCCCGCTCCGCTTAGCTCAAACACCTGCGCAGGATTCAGCAGCTGCTTGAAACGCCGAAGGAACTTAATTCCTTGATTATCACCTGAAAATTAAACTTTGTTAGGACCTGTTCTGGAGATATTATGATAGATATGATATTGTTAGAGAAAGACCTAATATGTTGGTCCTTAGAGACATTTTTATTCTATGTATTATTTTTTTTTAAATTTATATTATATCAAAAATAGTGTTGATTAAGAAAACTGCAAGTTAAAATCTTTCAGTGATTACAAAAACTTATAAAGTCCTAATTATCTTATTTGAAACGGTCTTAGACGTAGACCTGTATCGATATCTTAAAGTCACTGAGTAGCTCACTATAGTCTATATAAAATATATATGCAGTAGAATTGGTGTAACCTACACTACGAGCACTTAACCCTATCGTAGAACCTACATAACAAAACGCATCAAAAAGCAGAACAGGTCGAACTAAAATCTACAAAGAAAATTTTTTTTGTGAAATTGTAGTTATGTCGACTATCGGCTATCGTGTTTTTTGTGGCAGTTTTTGGTTGCAATAATGATTATTATGACGAATTCATAACGACAGAGAGCAGAGTGTAAGATTCAAAATTTCTAGTAATGCTGCTAATTCATTAACGAAACGCAGAATTAATGGAAAGAAGAAAACTAGGTAAAATATTAGCTTAACAGCAGCATTAAACTCTTTTAAATGTTGTCGAAATAGCTGGGAGTACAATATTACACGTGGTAGAGCCACGGTGGCAGCTATTTTATGGTTGTATCACAATGGGGTCAACTCAAGTGGGGTAGGGCCACACTCTTTTAGAATTTCAACGCATAATGGCAACTTAATGCTGTTGTGTTTCGTACAGTGAGTGAAGAGAGACTGATACCGTTTTTAATAATTACGATCAAGATTTTGATTCTTAATCGAGAATAGACGTAGGTGTGCTCGTATGTTTATGTACATTGCTATACTTTATTTGAAAAAAAAATTACCAGATCTTGAGTTGACGAAGACAATCAGAGGCGAAGCGTTAGGTGGTCTGTCGGGTAGCCAGCCATCGTCCGGGCCGACGGAATGCAGCCTGGTGGGTGGCACGACAGAGGCGCGCGCTGGCCCCAGCGAGCACGTCGCCCGCCAACCTGGTCGGCAGTTGGCATGCACGCATTTGCGACACCACACGCAACGGAAGTCTTGAAGTCTAAGACACGGTAATGATAACTTGGCTAAACGAAAACTTTAAAAAAAGTTAAAGCTTCTGTTAGAAGCTTTAGCATACTATAAAAAATATTACAGATATGTTTTGTGGTAGAGCTACGCTGTAACTATATTATCAATGTAGCTAGAATAGGTTGGCTCGACCAATCTATCGTGTTTCAAATGTTAGTGTAGAGAACTGGAGTCCCTTTATACTGGAAATGAGGTGTTCCATCTTAGTCCTCACGGGTGAAAACGCATCTGCATTTTGATTCGTAATCGAGGATAGAGTTAGATGTACATGGGCCACAGCAACCACGTATTATCAGGGGGACTGTGTGATCGTTTGTCACCATTATCCTATAAAAATAAAAAATAAAATAAATTTCAATTAGGTATTTTATATCATAATTGGAGATCAGAACACGACATCGTTTCGAAAAGTCTCAGCCCATGTTCATCTTTGAAATATGTATCAAACTTCATCAAAATCTACCATTTCAACAATTTAATGTGAAGAGGAAATTGTAGAATTATGGTTAAAGCAGAGATTTCCTACATTAAAAATCGTTTAGCACTCTTATCTCCACTGCATCCATATTTCTTCAATACGAAGTAAGCCTGCTAAATTCGGGGGGCAAAAAATTACTTTTTTTCAAATAGAATACGGTAGATAAACGAGTACAAAGTTTTAAGACTGTTATTCTGTGAGAGCGCGGTCCTTCCCCGGTATACCGGCTGTACTGGCCGCTATATTGTATATGTATACCCGCTATACTGGCTATAGCCAGACCTATTTATGCTACAACCATAATATAGCTGCAGCATGGCTCTACCACGTATAAACTGGTGTGCACAGGAATTGCACGCTATAATTCCTCCCTCTCCTTTCCACCATCGGACGACCAGGCGGTCGGCGGATCTTCACCCCTTTATTGTCGATATACCACGGATTAGAACCAAACGGTTTACTTCGACTTTTTTATTGCGCACAACAAAATAGTGTAATAATTTGCCGGCATCTATCTCTCTGTCCGAATACAATCTGGGCGTGTTCAAGGCAAGAAGTGAATAGGTATTTGTTACGTTAAAACAGTGCGATTTACAATCTAAGGCTGCATCATCACTTATCACCAGGTGGGTTTGTGGTCAAGTTCTGGCTCATAAAAAGTAAAAAAAACTGCTGTATTTTTTATTGTAATAATTGAAGTAGCAAACGAACTTACAGTCTACTTCATGGTATGTGGCTACTGTAGTCTCAGGGCATCTGCAGTCAACTTCAAACAAAAAGGCTACAGATGCGTTTTCACCTCTGAGGACTAAGATGGAATGTCTCAGAGCCTGAAAGCACTGATATTTGGTAGCAGAAATAGTGTTATTCTGGTTTAAACAATAATCCACGGAGGTCAAAAGCACCTGTGACTTTCTTTGTTTGGAAAGGTTGCGAGTGTGAGTAGCCACTTACTATCAAGTGGAGTTGATTTTTTCATGATATTATTAAGACAACGATTAAAACCACCATTTAATGTTTATTGCCTTCACATTATATTCTTCTTCATCATCATCACCACCCAGTTTCCACCGCAGGACATAAGCCTCTCTCATTGTAGACAGGAGTCATCTTAAACGTCACGCATTGCCGACGTGTTTGCGATTGTTGCACGCTGTCAGAAACCATAAAGCTCCGGATACACTAGGGGACATTTTGTCCGGCAACAAAACGCGGATCACTCAATCTACGTGACGATGCAACGTTGCACAGTAACCCACAACATGGCCAACATTTTTTGTGACATTTTATGTGACGCGGGACATACTGCATGTTCCCGCTTCGAGAGCGAACGCACATCAATTTCGCGCCATTTTGCTAATGCAATATCAAGTCTGATATGAGGGCCAACAGCGTCCCGTAGTATTTGTATCCTATTTGGCTATGGAAGGTCTGATCATTTGTAGTAAAGTTTCAGAATCAAATGTTGACATTCGGGTAAAATTCACAAAAGACCCATCAGACATTCGGAGATCACTTAAAGTATTAATTCTTATTTTTTCTCGTTGTAGTAAGAAATTCCGCATCCACCACCTTTTTTTTTTCGCTTACGTTTCACTCCCGAAGTAAGTACTAAAAGTAGCTTTTTACGACACCCACTGAAAAATGAGGTGATGTACTCTCACCAAATATGTAAATCTATTTCTAAATAATTTAAAATTAGTTCGTTATAACAGTTGCTGTATGGAACATACGAGTAGCTTACTTTACGTGTGTTTGAGCGGAGCGCACGTCTACCATGGCTTAATTAGGTCGAAAACTAATTACGTAGTATGCATTTTGCTTTTGATCTAAAATTTCAAATATGAGCTTTATCTACAATATGAAAGCAGTGATATAAATCCTTAAAGTGTATCTGAAAAGTAAAGTCAAAATTAACTAAATTCTATTTTGGCACAGTAAAAAAAATATAACATTAACGGAGGCACTTATGTGAAACACTGTTAACTCGTGACTCCAGGCTACTATTGATTTTCCTGTCAAAAAACTCGAGACTACACGAACAGAACACATACAATAATCATTAGAATAACGTGTCAGTTAAGAGATCATGAGCCAAAGATAACTTAGCCTAAGTTGGTAGATCGTACTAAGTAATCGCACTATGTATCTTAAAAAGTTTTGTATTTATTTGTAATATCAACCTCGTATTTAGTAATAATAGTTTGACATTGAAATTATTTAGACAATATATTCTATTTCAATATTTGTATGCCAATCAATGGTCGATCATATTAGAAACAATACATAATTGTTAACATCTTTAATGTATTTCTTATGATGAATAAATAAATGTTATATTATTATTACCACACTTGCTTTGAAGACACACATGTTTTAACTATTCTACTCCAATATTGTACGCATTACGAACAACAAAGCAAATTGTTTAGTTGGAACGCGTGGAATGTCAACGATATATGGCTGAAGATTACCGTGTAATTACTTCTATCTTTACGCAGAGCCGACTTATCGAGTGTCTGGTAGTCCAATGGTGGAAGAAGGAAGGGGAAGGGGCAAGGAGGAAATAAATCACGTAATTTTTGCTCACATTCTTTCTAATCTCCTATTGAATACCGAGAGGCTGGCTAATCTTCGTCTATGCACGAGACTGATAAGATTGGTTTAATCAAATCAAAGTCAACAATAAGCCTCTTACTTCGCCACTCCACTGTGTGTTCACATTGGTTATACGTATTTAATCACATCCTTATATTGTAATAAATATATTTAAGATTTATTTCCTCCAGACCAAATTTTAATCACGTTGATCTGTCTCAACGGAGATTAGCAACACTGAACAGGATTATAGTGCACGAGTGCATATACAAGCACAGGTGCACTCTCTATTCTCTCATTCTCATAGTTCCATGGGACGGATCTGATATGACTGGAGAAAGATAAGGTGCAAAACTAAAGGCTTTACGTATTTTACGAAGTGCGATAGTGAAACGCTGCTAGATTCCTGACTCCAAGCTGCTATTGAGAACTACGTGTCATACTAACTTCGTGTCCTCTTATCAGAAGCAGATTTTAAGAACACTAGATCAATGAGGCAGTCAAAAATATACTAAAGTAAATGTCAAAGCAACTATATTTACTATTTATTATATGCGATATAAATATGTCAACGGAAATTATGACAGGCTTGAAGTTTAAAAACCAACTTTTGAATAAAGTTATAAAACCACTCGCCGGTTCGAGAAGAGTTTCAATTTTTCGCAAGTTTATTTAAGCGCGTCAGAAATTCGAGTCGAAGCTGTTTGAGAATTTCTTATCCAAAGTACACTTAAGTTTGGAGCGGAGTGGTTCTGAAATCAATCCTTCTATGGCCGTAAAGCTTGTTACGTCGCGTCGGTGCACTGCGTAGCTTTGTAATGGTATAGAAGGCTAATAGATTACCACGGTAAAAATGTAAAAAAAATAACTTTAGTACTTACCTTGAAATAGTTTTTTATTTAATTTCAAAATCTTTATTGTAGAAAAATGTACAATATTTGTAGTGGATCATACATCAATTAGCACAATGTATCGCGGAAAGGCGACGCTCGAATTTAAACGAAAGTTGACTTTTTTTAACAAGCACACAGTCCACCCGATGGTAAGTGAATACTGTGGCCCATAGACATCCACATTTATCCTCAATTAAAAATCAAAATGCAGATGCGTAGTCACCCCTGAAGACTAACATGAAATACCTAGATTCCAGTAAAAAAGGTCTCCATTTCTGTTTTTTTTCTTTAGGATAGGTTGACAAACGAGCACACACTCCACCTGATTATAACTGGTTTCTGTGGCCCATAGGCATACGTATCTGTACTCGATTAAAAATCAAAATGCAGATACATTGTCACCCGTAAGGACTAAGATGGAATGCCTCGTTTCCATTAAAAAAGGGTTTCCGATTCTACACTCACCATACGAAACACAGCAGCATTAAGCTACTATTTCACGCTGGTATTCTGTGATAGTTTGGTCCTTTCCTGGTAGAGCCGACTCCAACACGTAAAAAAGTGCACTCTTCCTAATACTCTGCCTCTTACCCAATTGCCTACTTTGAGGTGGACTGTAAGTTCGTTTCTCACTTCACTTCTGTTATAATAATAGATGCAACTGTGGCAAATATTCCCCCTATGAGGCAACCTCTGGGGCAGGCCTCGCTCAGCAGTGGACTTTAATAGGCTGTAACGATAACGGTATCAATCAAGGATAGACGTAGCTGTAACTGCACCACAGCCTCCACGTATACTTCAGGTGTACTGTGTGCTCGTACTCCACCCACACTTAGGTATAAATATATCGTTTAAAAAAATTTAAACAACTTTTCCATTTCTAACGCGCACTGAGCGGAGAATTTCAAAAAGAAAATATAGGTCAAAGCTAACGACTATAAGTACTCTTTAGTAACATCGGTTTGTTTTCACATTGCTTTGTATTAGACTTTCACATTACATTGTTCCATGTAGTTCATTGTTTGTTCGCATTTATTTAAAGTTATTAAAGCATTATTTTATTTCAAACACAAGTTTGTGACAGCGATCGAAGCATTTCATTGGTTTAAATGAAAAGCTCGTTCAGACCAAAATTTCAGTCATGTTGGCTAGTCTTAACGGAGACTCGTTATTTGCGCAGAATTATGGCGTTTAGGTGTACGCATAGGTGCACTCTCTATAAAAACTAAAAATATTGACCACAGGATTAGAATTCGTGCGATCTAAGCAGACCTAAGTTCAAGCGATTGGGATATTGAGAAAATGATCCCTGTGTAGAAATTACTGATCATATTACGAATAGAGAAACGAATTGAGACGTTTTTAGAAAATTTACTTTTTAATTTAATTGTATTCAATTAAATTAAAAAGTAAATTTAATTGAGTACTCAATTCGTTTCTCTATTCGTTAGACCTATAAACCTATAAATTGAATTTATAACCTATAGACCTATAAATCGAATTGAATAAATTTTATCAAAATCGTGGGTGCCGTTTTCTAGAACGTGATTACAAACAAATAGCTGGTGGTCTTATTTTCTTTCATAAATTATTACATTACCATATCGACTGACCGCAGCTTCATTTTGAAAAGTGACAGCTCATTCCGTCATTGGTAACGAAGAGATACTACTTCTGAAAATCTAAAATAAGCACACTTGTAAGAATGAGGTTACGTTTAACACTGACAGCTGTCGGCTAGCCGGGTAGACGTAGGTACCTGCGGTGTAACGGTTAACGGAAGGGCAGGGCGCGTTGGGTTATCGGTTATAAATTTGGGTACCGTGCAAGACGCACGGTACCCAAATTTATAAGCGATAATTTGCCTATATTAGGTACTTATTCTGAACCTCCTCTGCAAATGTGGGCATATATTGCAAAATAACCCTATCAGCTAGCGACGCCCTTGCCTTGACATACACTCCACATACTATTGAAAAAGGAACACTTGAAACTTTACAGTAATTATTTGTGTTCAACCTTTTAAAATCCTTTGGCGACAATCTCTACTCTGTATGACTGTTTGACCATAGACTATTAAATGTTTGACATTGGCCTTTCTAATACAAAAACACATGATTTTGAACGTCAACAAGCGACATAATTTGCCCAACCGACAATTACGTGTTCGATGTTGGCAACACGAACGTAACAATGTATGTTTTACTTTATTTTATTTAATGTTTTATAACACAAATCATAATGCACTCCGTCTCCATATAAACTTTTGCAATACCGAATCTCAAACTAATACGTGCGTGCAATATGCTTAAAAAGGGATAAAGTTTTCTCTTCACGTATTAATTAATAAATAGACGTAATCCAGACCTAATTACGGTCACGGCGACATCTTTTCACGGGTACTAGCCATCTGCGCAGGATAGGAGTACAGTGCACGAGTGTGTGCACAAGCACAGGTTCACTCTTTATTCTCCTCTCTCATAGGCCGATGGTATGGAAAGAGCACCCGTTGCTTATTCAGAGCCGCGGCATCAAAGATCCAAGTTGCCTTAATGATCGCCGATTTTATTTTATTTTATTTAATGATCGCCGACTTTCGAAAGAAGATGGCACTTTAAGAAGAAGAGGATAGGCCGATAGGACGACAACTCGACTCGACCGGAGAGAGATTAGGCGCAAGATCATCATTGGAATGGGGCATGCTGCCGGCTGCGTCTGAGAATTTCTTGACAGAAAGACTGAATAACTGACTTTGGCCTGACCTGGGATGCGAACTCTGGACCACGTGCACACGCTTATGGTCATAAGCGTGTGCACGTGGTCCAGAGTAGAGCAATGAAGCAGTCTTTGGTCTACAAGTTTACGCGACTTGTTATTATATGTCTAATAAAAATAATAGGTAGCATATTTGTTTTAAACTTTTGCATATGGTCTAAAAATAGATAGTTATTCGGGATCGAAATTAGAATACTTTATATTATATTTATATTATATTACGCGTTATTAATTCGCAACAATTTTGCCGACGTTCTAAATTCGATCTAGGTGACCGACATACGAGTAGGTGCTTGATTTTAAATTCAACCTCGTTTCGAAAAATGTCGCTAGAAGCGGTCGTTGGTTGCAACCATCATAATACAATAACCTATATCCCTTTGTTTTTATAGAATAAAGAAAAGGTGATAAACAAGCACTCTGTATACCCGATGCTAAGTGGATGTTGTAGTCCATAGACATGTACTCCTATATTTACTGGAATATCACGTCATGACAGCGCACATGCACGTGTATTGAAATTATTCGTTCATTACAGCCTACAAAAGTCCCCTGCTTAACTTATGTATAGGTGATATAGATTGATTGATCATAGGGGCGGGAGGGCACGCTGCGACAATATTACGGTTGTAGCACAAATGGATCAGCTCGACCGGGGAAGGACCACAGCGTAAAATAGCAGCTTAATACAATTGTGTCGTATGGTGAGTGTAGACAACATGAGACCACTTTTACTTAATAGGAGGCATTTATTTTCAGCCCTCAAGGGTGACAACGCAGCTGCATTTTGATTCTTAATCGAGGATAGATGTTGTAGATGTATATGGGCCACAGCATCCACTTACAATTATGTGAACTGTGTGCTCGTTTGTAATAACAATCGCATAGAGTAGATATTGCCACCAAAGAATATTTAAATGTTGCGAATAAATACTTATTGACAGATTGACTGAAGAAGCTGTGAATTTTGAGTGACTTCAAAGGTTTCTTTTTCAACTGTGTGTGTGGAGTGTATTTCAAGGCAAAAAAGCGTCTATTTTATATTTCAGGCACTTTATGATATGATCAATTCGATCTGGACACGACATATACATGTCATATTATTTTAAAAGTTAAAAAAGTAAGGTACGTATGCAATCACTACAATAATATTTCGGGTTAAATATCAATAAAATAGTATTTTTAAGTTCTCGCTATGAAAATCAATGATTTTCAATAAATCGGGAAGTTATTGGTTTCATCCCAGTTTTTGAAAGTCGAGTTCTCAACAGATCTTTACCTTTTGAAGCTATTCTTACAATTCATAAAAGGCTGTATAATGTTGTGATCAGGATTAATAAAAGAATACTTCGGTGGTTTGGTCATGTAGAAAGAATGAACGAGGAAAGAGTGACAAAGCAAATTTATGTTGTAGATGTGAACAGCAGAGTCTGGAAGGGACGCTCTACATGAGAAGTTATCGACAAAGTTGACGATATATTGCAGACAGATTAAGAGCACCCTTAACCGACAAGCATGTATACTTAGGTATATGGATATAAAGGAGGCGAGAGAGGTATGTTAGGTCGTGCCAAACGGAAGTCTGTAATCTCTGCTTACCTCTCTGGGTGACACACTTAAGTGTTTATGTTTTTGAAACTATTCTCAACCTACTATAACATTTATATCCACTTAAAATTACTATAGATAATAGACCACCGTTTAACTGAAATCACCCATAGCCTAATAATGCCTGTTCAGTTTTTAGTATGCAGTCTTCAGTTGCCCTGTGTTCACATTCAAAACTAATTCTAGTTTTAAAAGTAAAATGATAAATAAAAAGGAAGCTATACGTTCGGGATACGTCAATCACAATATAAAGACCTCACGTCCGTTGAATCGTTCATTGATTAAATGGGGATGAAGGGAAAAGGGCATGCCATTCTAGCAAACACTCTATGACCTAGTTAACGATCAAAAACGTACAGCTAGTCGATAGCTTTTTTCTGTATTTTAGTGAATACAGACTAATGAGTAAAGAGCTAGTATAATACTTGTGAGTAAGAGATAGGTGTGAGTAGGGACATTTTGTTCTACAGTACCTTTTTTGAATAAAAAAAATTATAAATTCAAGAATACATGCTCCGGGCGCAGGCCTCATCTTATGTATTTCTCAGTAGGTTAAGCTAATTGGGTATTTGATACTGTAAACAATTGAAATACTTTTTAAGAGCTTTCAAAATAAACATTTCTATAGAAATTGTATAAGAATATAGTGCAATAATGTATAATTTTAAAAGTCACTTGGATATCTTTATTTGTATATTTTTATATAATAAAAGTCGAATTTAATTTCAAGTAAAAAATCAAGCAAGTTTTGAAACACTATTAAATGTAGCTAATTCTATCTGTAGTCAACTACACAATTAGTCAAACGTGCTCCTCCAGTATATGTTGGCGGACTGACGTAATGTTTTCCATCACCATCGAGTACGTACATTTAATCAGAACTAAAAAATTGCAATTGACAATTTCTATGGTACCGATAAGGCATTGAACTCAAGTTGCTCGCGTTCTTTGAAATTAACGAACCCCATATGCTACGACGGGACTCTAAGGAAAAAACCAAGATAGTATAACGCTTATTTTAGTAATTAAAAGAGTTTGAAATTAAAGCTTAAGGTAAGAATTTAGAAATGTTTCTCACTTCTGTTTACTGGAAAAATAACACGGAGTTCATCCATTAGTTGTCTAGTCCAATAAAAAGCTAAAATAAATATGTTCATTAAGTGGAAAGAGTCGTTAGCTCACCGGAGCACGGAGCCGCATGTCTTGTCGCAGATGTCGCATTTAGCTGCCACCGGCAAATTCCCCTCAAGCCACTGGTGCGGCATTATTATGTTCTGAAACACAAAGAATAGTAACATTCTTTTTAGAAATTGTTTATAAAATTGGTTCATTACTTTAGTATCGTAAAAATGTATGAGTGGTAGAGACGTGAGGCAGCTACGAGTATATAATGGTTGTAGTACGAATGGATTGGCTCCACCGGGAAAGGACCACGCTCTCACAGAATACCTCATTAAAATAGCCGCTTAATAATGCTGGGTTTTGTAAGGTGTGTGTAGAGAACCGTAGGCCTTTTTACTGGAAATGAATTATATCATATTAGTCCTCAGTGGTGACAACGTATCTACATTTTTATTCATAATTGAGGATTATATGTAGATGTCTATGGGTCGCAGCATCCACCTACCATCAAGAGAGTTATGTATTCGTTTGTAACTTTTATTATCTAAAAAAAAATCTATTTGAAAATACTGTTGGGAAAACCGCGCCTTATTTTTATCATGTGTCTTTCTCTACCAGTCAACCAACAGGCTTTGAAATAGGGATACGAAGAGAAATTTGTAAGAGAATTACGTAATATAAAAATCATAAAAATAAAATATAATAATTAAGCTGTATATTTAATTAAGTGGTAGGTCAGAAAGCTCTTGTCTCAAAATATAGTACGCGAGCAAACAATTTACTTAAATTTATTTTTTTAGACTGCACGGCACACAATAATTATAACTTTTTAAATGCAGCACGCATTAAAAAAGTTATAATTATTATTATTCCTAATTAATAATGTCCTCCAGACCGAATTTCGGTAACGACGGCCTGTCCCAACGGAGGATATGATTATAGTGTCCAAGAGTATGCGCAAGCACAGGTGTACTCTCTATTCCCTCACTTCTCATAAACCGACACGACCAGAGAGAGATCAGGCGTAAGACCAACAGCTTTACGTGCTTTCCAATGCACGGGGTAGGATACCGCCAACTTCCTAACTCTGGGCAGCTACTGAGAATTTCTTGACAGAAATACTCAATAATATATGTCCCGATCCGGGATTCGAACCCAGGAGCTCATGATCAGCAGACTACAACCACTAGTCCAACGAGGCAGTCAAATATAATTAATTGATAATTAATTAGTTTACGAAACATTGCAAAATTAAGACCTAAATACGCAATCATTTATACAAATGTTGATTCTCTAATCCTATACCTTTAAACGAGCAATTCTTGTATATATATATATATATATATATATATATATATTTTTTTTTTATCGGAATCTCGGAAACGGCTCCAACGATTTTCATAAAATTTTGTGTGCAGGGAGTTTCGGGGGCAATAAATCGATCTAGCTAGGATTTATTTTTAGAAAATGTCTTTTTGTCCGCGTTTTTAGGCAATGAAAACTGCTACAATATCGTTAGAATAAGAAGGTAAATTTTGACAGTTTATTATTGATTACAAATAGCTTAGTTGGTATAATGGGCGGTCACAAAATCGTAATTCCGTGGTTCGAGCCCAGACCGACCGATCGACTTTTTTAATTTTTTTTTCAAGTTCCTTTCTTTTTTTGAGAAAATCTATTTTTTCGAGCCCTTTTTTTTAGTATTTTTAAAAACACGAAAATTTAAATTAAACTAATTGCACTCATGATTTTTTATTCAAATAACCAGTTCAGTTTTTTCTATTATGTCGCTACGATCAAAAAATATTATTCGTATTTCATCAGTATGTAATTTGTATCTAAATATAATTTCCAAAACACACGAATTAAAAAAAACCGATCGAAAAATACCGAGCAAAGCTCGGTCAACCGGGTACTTTCATTTATTTTACTATTTTCATTTTTACTAAGTCCTAAAGCTCATAAAGAGCGTGTTGGACTCATAAATCTCAGTTAATTTTGCCTTGAATTTACTTAAACGCAAAACAAAATAAAAAACAAAGAGGTAGTCAAATTAATTATATTGAAGATAAAATCAATAGCACACAAAAGAGCATACGGCTTTTTTACAACATCCTTCCTTCCATTCCTTCCTCGTTACGTCCATTCCCGAAAAGGGATAGACGCTAATTTGAAAAACCTTTCAACATCGAGTGATATACATGTTCTGCCCGATCTGATCTCAGATCATTCTCTTTTATTGCTTTTAGATTAATTTCTTTTTTCGGGGAAAAATTTCAATTACATTAAATCCCTTCAACCGATAAAGGTGAAAACGAATTGAATCCTTCACGGATGAAAAATAAAATTAGAGAATAATGCAACAAATTCCTAATAGTATTCAAATAATTTGTTACAATATTATGAAGCGCAATTACTTATTTAGACTTGCATAAAAGAGTTTCAATTCTAGCAACCATATTAGCAATTGAGTAATATTAGCACGCTTGTCCAGCGGGTTATCAACCGCAGTTTTTTATTATTTTGAGTTGTTATCTGGAAGATGCTGCTGCCCATCTCCTGCATTTTCCCTGTCGCCTCTTACGACACTCTCGGGACGAGATGTGGTAGTGAATATTCTTACACCGCAACTACACGGTTACGTTGTACGGATATTCACAATTCAAATATCTTAATCCTGACTTACAATGTAAATGTAAAAGTGTCTTTCTTTGTTTAACCTTATTTCACACCGCAACGACGCAACGGGCCAATTTCAACTTTTGTATCGAGATAATTAAGGAAAAGGAGATTTATTACTTTTTATTGCGATTTTTATGAATTTCCCTCGGGAAAATAAAAAAAAAAAACATCACAAATGTTGTTTCTTCCAAATTGAAACTTTTGCTAGTCCCTAGGTATTTCCCAGTTTGTGAAGCCAGCGACCAGTGTATCAGATGTGACAAATGAGCGCACAGTTCACCTGATGGTAAGTGCATAGCGTGGCCCATAGACATCTAGATTTATCCTCTATTAAGAATCGAAATGCAGATGCGTTGTCACTTTTGAGGACTAAGATAGAATTCCTCGTCTCCAGTAAAAGGGGTCTCCAGTTCTCTACATTCACTATACTAAACACAGCAACATTGAGTTGCTATTTAACGTTGGTATTCTGTGAGAGCGTGGTTCTATCAAGTTCGAGCCGACCCGTTCACGCTGTAACCATAATATAGCTGTAGCGTGGCTATATTACATACAATGTTTCACGTAAGTACGTTGTTGCATCGGTACTCCAAAGATATAGGTATTTAAATTACTCGACTCACCCCCTCGGCATCTTCAACTAGATGCGGCCCCAGTGAAGCGAGTGTGCTCCATTTGCAAGATGGCGGAGCTCGCGCTGCGCACCTTTTATGCGCTTTATATTTGCAGAGTTCGCAAGCGAGTGCGTGAGCGGTACCAAGCGCTCCCAGAGGCTCCCGGCATACGTTGCAGAATGTGGGCCGCGCGTGTGTCGCTGCATACCTGAGTATAAAATTAAGATTTTGAACTAGATACGAATTAAAATGATTTCTTATATTTACGCGAACACTACACATTGATTAAAACTATTTTTAAGGACTTTATCGCGTTTATTTTTACTTTTAATTCCCGACCTTTCGGGTGCTTTTCAGCACCCATGGTCACGGGGTACTGAGGTGACTGACGTTCCGATGTCATTGTTAAACGCGGAGTACAAAAACTTTTTTCGGATGAAACTACATACCTAAAGGTCAAAATAGACCCTACAACTAATACGCTTAAAACAACTAGCGATCTAATTAATAAATACTCCGAGAAATTGAATCTAGACGTTAATTCGATAATACGTTCATGTGTCAAACCACAGAAATTGTATGGGTTACCAAAATTACACAAACCGAACGCTCCATTACGTCAAAGAGTGAGTCAGATTGATTCGCCAACTTACAGATTGGCTCAACACTTAGCTAAAATATTATCACCACTCAGAGGACACACAAGAGCACACACTAAGGATTCATACCATTTTGTCAGTGAGATAAAAGACCTACGTCTTACTGACAAAGAAACCATGGTCAGTTTTGATGTTCAGTCTCTATTTACATGCCTACCTGTTGAAGACTGCATCTCAACTATAACTAAGAAACTAGAAGAAAATAACATGCCAGCAGAATATGCAGTATTACTCAGACATTGGCTTACATCTGGCTATCTATTGTGGAAGGAAGAGTTTTACAAGCACGTAGATGGTGTTGCGATGGGCTCACTTGTATCTTCCATTGTCGCTGATATATTTATGGAAGACTTTGAGGAGAAAGCCCTCCTTACTGCACCTGTTACACCAAGGATCTACAAGCGGTACGTAGACGATACTTTCATAATTTTACCATCAGACAAAGTAACTGCATTTTTAGAACATCTTAATTCCATAAACTCTAAAATTCAATTTACTATGGAATTAGAGGCAAATAATTCCTTACCTTTCCTAGATGTGTTAGTCATCCGAAATCCTGACAACACCATCGGTCACACCGTGTATAGAAAAAAGACCCTTATAAACCGATATTTAAACGGTGAATCTCACCACCATCCTTCACAGTTAGCTACCGTGGGCAAATCTTTCTTACAGAGAGCACGAGGGATTTGTGACAGCAAACACCTGGCCGCCGAGCTTCAGCACCTCAAGCAAGTTCTGCACGACAACAAGCTTCGGGTCCCGCGCCTATGTCACAGTGACCGAGTGAAGCCGGCCACAGTCGAGCGTGTGCCTGCTGTACTACCACATGTCAGAGGTGTCACAGACAAGATTGGCATTTATATTTTATCTTGAAGCGAACTTCTATTAGAACATTCTACAAGCCGCCGAAGAAGATTATTTAGTTCCTACCTTCCGTCAAGTGTCATATTCCTCTACAAGATGCAGGAGTGTACAAGCTAGATTGTGAATGTGGTCTTTCTTATATAGGACAAACAAAAAGATCAATTAGAACCCGCGTAAAAGAACATATAGCTGATGTGAAGCATCAACGTTCCGGGAAGTCTGCAGTTTGTGATCATATCCTAGACGGCCCCAACCATTACATCAGATTTGATAGACCACAAATCCTCGCGAAAGAACACCGATTCCCACCAAGGATGATACGTAAGGCTATTGAAATTAAAAAACATCCTAATTTCAATAGAGAAGGAAGCTGGGTACTACCACCTGCTTGGGATCCTATAATCAATAAAATTAAAACTAAACTCAAGCATACCACTGCAAGACCTCAGGACATAATCAGTTCATTTTGCAAAGATCGGACCATAAATAATAATTTAAAAAGCTGAAGGTACTCCGGGTTTAACAATGACATCGGGACCTCAGTCACCTTAGTCCCCCGTGACCATGGGTGCTGGAAAGCACCCGAAACGTCGGGAATTAAAAATAAAAATAATTAAAAGTAAAAATAAACGCGATAAAATCCGTAAAAGTGGTTTTATTTAGTAATATACGAATTAAATTATTCATTCACCCTTCATTCATTCATTGCAGCCTATCAAAGTCCTTTGCTAAACATCGGCCTGCCAACGGATTGTGTGGTTAGTAAGTGTAATATTTGCCATGATTAGGTTTTTAGTTTTTATTATATAGGCGCCACTGCCCGTCTCCAAGGACTTTAATGTATGCTTATAGACCGACAATTAAGAACAAGAATTGTGTCACAGCTGTGGACCGCGCGGGCGCCGGCGCAGCTCTGGCACACAAGTAGATAAAAGGAACAGAGGTAAAGCTTCATACAACCGCGCGAATCGGCTGCACTGCTACAAGCAGGCGGACATGTTGCGTGACCACTGGCCGCTTGTCGCGTACGCGCGGCTCCATATCCAACTGACTGCGTCGCACTGACCCTAAGATTATCCGTTGGCACAGCCAGTGGATAATCTTAGGGTCAGTGCGACGCACGTTGTTCGTTTTGTTAGTTGCAAGTTAGAATATATTAATGTAAAAACGTGGTATTATTAATAAAGGTTGTTTATTAAACTGTGTATATGCATAATACTAGGAAAAGTAAAAATATATCTTACTTTAACTACCCCAAGGAGTGCTATATAAAGTGTTTGATTTTTTTAGTAACTTTATTGATTTTAGTGTATGATCCTTTTTTAATAAGAAGAGGGCTACACGGTGTGTTTTTACCCTTTTATTGTTATTATAATATATTACTAAACATTTGTAGGTATGTATATAGTACGAGGGGCACACTGAAATGATCCGGAATAGAATATTTCGCAATGAGTTAAAATAAAACCTATTTTAGAATTTGAATACTGGCCTCTTAGAATATTAATGGACATTCAAACAAAAACAAGCAAAAAAATTTTTTGAAAACAAAAACTATGTTGGTTTTAAGTTGACACGTCGTTAACAGAAATGGAGCTCACGCGAGAACATTTCCGTGCCATAATTTATCACAATTTTCGTCGCGGCTTATCTCAAGATAAATGTCTCAGCGAACTTGTTTCGATTTATGATATTGAAGCACCGAGTCAAACGACAATATACCGCTGATATACCGAGTTCCGACGCGGTCGTGTATCGCTCAGCACTGTTTCTTCTGCAGGTCGATCAAGAACAGCCGTCACGCATGAAAACTACAGCTGTGCGAATTATTATATGAGATGACCGTCATGTAACATACGAGCAGATTTCGGCTGTTATCAGTATCGGAATGATTGCAATTCAGTCGATATTACATAATGAGCTGTGTGTAAAAAAGCTATTTTCCCGCTGGGTTCCCCACAATTTGTCCGAAAAGCAAAAGGCGGCTCGTGTAGATTGGTGCCGGAATACTTGGCAACGCTTAAACGGAGGGAAGTCAAATGCCGTTTATAATATCGTCTCAGGTGACGAATCATGGATTCATTCATACGAACCTGAAAGAAAACATCAGTCAGCAGTTTGGGTCTTCGAAGACGAGGTCAAACCACCGAAAGTGGTTCGCTGCCGTAGCGTGGCAAAGAAAATGGTCGCTACGTTTGTATCGAAAAAGGGGCATGTTGCTACAATTCCTTTACAGGAACGCATGACTGTTACCGCTGAGTATGAAATGATGGCCAAACTCCGAAAAAATAACCCGAAACGTCGCATCATTTTACATCACGATAATGCGAGCTCCCAAACGGCTCGGAAGACAAATGATTTTTTGAAACAGGAAAACGTTGAGCTGATGAGCCATCCTCCGTACAGTCCTGACCTGAGACCAAACGATTTCTTTACATTTCCTAGAATGAAAGATCTATTACGCGGTCAATGGTTTGAAGACCCCGAAGCAGCTGTGGAAGCGTACAAATCAGCCATTTTGAACAACAATTTTACAAATCAACATCAACTTCAGACTGGAATTACTGTTTTAATGATTGGTTTGCACGAATGGAAAAATGCATTTAGTTGTACGGAGAATACTTTGAAAAACAATAAAATACGATTTAATTATACCGTGCATGTGGTTTTTCTTATTCCCGATCATTTCAGTGTGCCCCTCGTAGGTACGCGTGTTAAGCTCACATATCGCAGATAAGAATTGAACTACTTCTCGATGTCTGATTGAGTTGAAATTTTGTGTGCCGTAACTTCAGTGACAGTGCAATAATATGGTAGATATAACCTGGTTTTGCAGTCAGGATTGTCTCCTCGCTAAGAAACTGTTTAACGTTTAGTAGCATGGACTCGAATCTGTGTATTTAAATTTAATTTTGTTTGCTAAATATGATCTTCACCATAAACTGCTGCTGCAGACAGGATAGTCTCCCCACGAGGGAACTCCTCAACAGCTAAAGTAAACTTTATGTTAGATTCAGAATTTACCACAGCATTAAAAGAAACAATAAATTATTAAAAAACAAAAATGATAAAAAGAAAATTATTAGAGTAAGAGATTTGTAAAGTATTTTATCATACTGAATAATAAAATCATTTAACAAATGTTTTGCTTAATTTGCCTTCACCTATTATAACAACCCTATCAAAATAGGTAACAATTTTGCACGTTCTTAAGAAGCTTTGTATCTGTTCCGTTTATCTACTCAAGTGGCTCCGGTGCGTGCGGTGCGTCTTGACTTTATAAAAAAATATGGGGCAAGTGGTGGAAAACAAAGAGACCACGCAATCGCTTCTCAAAAGGACACTATGCTCTTTCTCTTTTGCATTGGCAATCTATTCTAACGACAGTATATACTAAATTTTTGTGGTTGCACCAACGCACACCCTTGCATTTCGTATTTGTTGACGTGTTTGTTAGTTAAGTTAGCTGACATAATCCACCTCTCTTACGTTCCCTCCCCGCACGGGTCTGCCTATTAGGGAAGAGATAGATACCAGTGGACGCATCTTTGGTCCTCTAACGAGAGGCGCACTCCGCTAAGTTGAAATGGCGGAAGCTATAAGAAGACACGCGCTGTCATCGTCGTAGCAATGCGATTTTCATCGGTGCCAGCATAGCCATCAAGAGAGAGGCCGCTCGCCGCTTCCCCTAGGTGAGTGCCCAGCCTTATTATGAGCTATTTCATTTGTTGTTCTTAAAAGGATTCGAGGCATCCCTTATATACATTTTTGTCCGTAATACTTATATATCACTATACTACTCTATTTCGTCGTGATAATTAATGTCACTCCAAATATTTTAAAATTTCATAATTCGTGGTACTACAGTTATAATTTTTTCCGTAATACTTATAATTATTATTCCGAAATACTTATATATCATTATAGTACTCTATTTCGTCGTGATAATTAATGTCACTCCAAATATTTTAAAACTCCATGATTCGTTCATATATTTGAGATTATATAATTATAATCTCAAGTCACGGACCGCCTGCACTCAGATTTTAGTATCTCAAGTGCACGTACCTTTTGTGTACTTAAGAGTAGAGTTTCGTTTATTAAATAGTACATCACTAAGATGATAACGTAAGCTTAAGCCGCAACTTATGTATGTTTATTAATTAGATCACAAACCTCAAGACTGTTCTCAAGTGCGTGCACTTGAGCTGAAGAACGTTTATTAAAACGGGTCTACATCTTCTTTGACATCGCTCACTTTTGTAATTTATCCTATAATTATCTGAGGCTGGTAGTGTCTGCTTCACTAAAATTACTTTTAGGATTAAGATGTATTTACTGGTCCTTATATATAAAGAAATCAGTTGGGGGATCTGTGCAATAAACGTCATAAGTGCCCAAGTTCTTTGCCGATTATTATACCAGTGGTGATCACCGGAGGAGAGGCGCGCGACAAGGTCGGCGACATCGGCGCCGCGATGCAGAGCGCCCCGGAGCGCACCTGCCCACGACTCCATCTCGCTGCGGCTGTCCGCGCACAACACTACACAACGGCTGGGCGTTATTACCTAAAACAAATACAAACATTTACAATATTAAATAGAATACAATTTCAATAGACACCTCGTAGTGTCTAGTAAGGTACGTGACATTAATATGGCCACCTTAAGCTTTGCTATCCTATAAAAAAAACCTAGGAGGAGGACAGAGACAAAACAAAAAGTCGTATTTTATATGTAATTTTTCTAGAACACTTTGAAAAATCAACTTAAAGATAAACAGTTAATATTACCAAGACCATATTTAATATATATGCACTGTCAAAATGGCGTCGATAAAGCAGCGTCCTTTTGACCTTTTATTATTTGATTGACTGCTGAAGAGCTCCCATTTCAGAATCATCTATGTAAACAAGGCTGTAGTTATTGAGTTATAAGAAAGTGAACATATTAACCGGATGACCATATTACCCTCACGTGCGCTAGTAAAAGTGAATATACGTAAATACAGGATGATATTGTTTTACGTCTCTATAAGTTAACCCTGGGACAAAAAAAAGTATGTAGGTGTTATAAAATGGTTTCTATAATAACAAAGCGTTTCATTTTACCTTACGATTGTACCAATATCACTTAGTAGTGTTGAACCCCTAGGCAGAATAGTAGTCTTATCATTTAGTAGTGTTGAACCCCTAGGCAGAATAGGAGTCCTATCACTTAGTAGTGTTGAACTCCTAGGTATAATAGGAGTCCTATCTATTAGTAGTATTGAACCTCTAAGCAGAATAGGAGTCCTATAACTTAGTAGTGTTGAACAACTAGGCAGAATAGGAGTTCCATCTCTTAGTAGTGTTGAACCCCTAGGCAGAACAGGAGTCCTATCACTTAGTAGTTTTGAACCCCTAAACAGAATAGGAGTCTTATCACTTAGTAGTGTTGAACTACTAGGCAGAATAGGAGTCTCGTCACTAAGTAGTGTTGAACTACTAGGCAGGATAGGAGTCCCATCACTAAGTAGTGTTGAACACCTAGGCAGAATAGGAGTCCTATTACTAATTAGTGTTAAACCCCTAGGCAGAATAGGTGCACTATAACTTAGTAGTGTTGAACCCCTATGTAGAATAGGAGTCCTATCACTTAGTAGTGTTGTACCACTAGGCAGAATAGGAGCCCTATCACTTATTAGTGTTGAACCGCTAGGCAGAATAGGATACCTATCACTTAGTAGTGTTGTACCACTAGGCAGAATAGGAGTCCTATCACTTACTTGCGTTCAGCAGTGAACTTTTGACAGCCTATGGTGATGATGACAGTGTTTCATAATAAAATATGTGTATAATATATTTTGCCTGCGATACGACTGCTTATAAGAATTATATGTGGCTCCGACAAAATAAAAGCAATTTTGTTAGTGCGAACTTTAGTCGACTACCCCGCAAATGAGCTCTTTGAGTGTTTAGAATGAATGTTTTTGATTAAATTCACAAGGCAAAAACCAAATGTAGTTTTAGTTATTAATAAAAAAATTTTCCTCCTTTATTTTTTTTTTTTTTTCCCTTGTTTTTTTTCCTTCATTCTTATTTTATAAAGAGAAGTTTTTTTTTTTTTTTTTTTTTGTGGCTTTTTGGGGGGGTGGTGTCCTTTTTCGCGGAAAAACATCTCATTCCCGTGGGAAAATCGAATATGTTGCAAAATTAAATTCAGCTAGGTGGCGCCACCATGATTCTATAAGGCGGACGACGGTACGATGGACGAACACAGAAGGTCAGAATATCTGTATTATTATGCCTTTTTACCAAAATTAAGATAAAAATGTATGGATCTGTATTTTTCCACGCAGGACCGGGAAGAGAACGATAAAAAACATAAAATTCAACAGCTGATTTTCTTCAAACGTTTTGGTCCATTGTAATTCACAGAATAGGCGATAACCTCGCAGACGATATTAAGTAATCTGTTGATGCTCTGCCTACCCCGCAAGGGTTACAGGCGTGATTATAAGTATGGATCAGAAATACTATCACCACCTGTCACGTTTTCACCCTTAACTATTACTTAACTGTGGTAGAAACAGTTTTTAGTAAGCCTTATTAATAATCCTTAGTAATATTTATTGAATGGAAATAAATATAGTTCTTATATGTGGTTATGAATGAATCGGTATTACAAATATTGTGCAAAATTATATGAAAAATATTTTTGAGAGTTCTTATTAACTAACGTATACATAGTTTAAATTGATTTCGCTAGATGTCGTTATTAGGTTTTTAACACGCGGTAACGAAATGTTTCCTGACATGTACTTTACTCCCGCCGTTGAGCCGCGCGTGAACTTATGCACCTATACGCTTAAATTGTTTCTATTTCGAAGCTTATTCGACTACCTGCTTTCGATTTCGGTTGTTTGTTATTTGCTTTGTGATTTGGTTAAGGTTGAATGAATTTATATTGGCTTTCATTTTCGGATTTGTGTATTTTCTTGGATCGGTTTTGTTGATTTGGTTGGTATTCCTTTATACATATTTAGACTCTGGCTTTGATTTTGGATTTTGTTTATTTAGAATCGTGAATTGGTTTTCGTAGTTTTAGGTTGTTTAACAATATTTCAAAGGAATATTAATAGTATAGATAGTGTATACGGTACCTATACACTTACTTATTTTTCGTTGGTTATATTTATATTGACTACTGCTTTCGATTTCGGTTTTCTGCGATTTGTTTTGTGATTTGGTTTAAGTTGATTCGATTTTTTTTGGCTATCGTTTTCGGATTCGTGTTGTGTCTTGAATTGGTTTTGTTGTTTTGATTTTAAAAAATATTTAAAAGGTATATTTATTCCTTTTAGATATTTTGAATTTGCTTTTAAAAAAAATATTTAAAAAAAAATATTTATTCCTTTTAGGTATTTTAACGTTTTTATTATAAATAGGTTTTTTGTTACTTCATAATGATTCGCAAACGTAAGTCCAGCCTTTCAAGAGTATCTTCTCAAAGACAAGCGAAAATATTAGCTCGATCGCTAAAATCTTTAGAAGATGCTGAACTGAGAAGGCAAGAACAAGCAGAGCGTCAAGCTGCTTTTAGAGCACCTGAGACACCTGCTCAACGTCAGCAAAGGCGTCTTGAACAGAGAGCGTCAGGCTGCTTTAAGAGCTTCCGAAACACCTTCTCAAAGTCAGGAAAGGCGTCTTGAATAGGCAGAGCGTCAAGTCTTTGAGCTTCTGAAACACCTTCTCAAAGTCAGCGAAGGCGTCTTGAACAGACAGAGCACCAAGCTACTTTAAGAGCTACTGAACCACCTGCTCAAAGTCAGCAAAGGTGTCTTGAATAGGCAGAGCGTCAAGCTACTTTAAGAGCTACTGAAACACCTGCTCAAAGTCAGCAAAGGCTATTCGAATAAGCGGAACCTCAGGACGCTTTAAGAGCCACGGAAACACCTGATGAAACTCAACACAGACTCATTGAGCAAGCTGAACGTCAATCTACTATAAGGGCATCTGAAACACCAGAACAGACACAAGCGCGAAGAGATGCAGATGAATAGCTCCAAGCAGAACGTCGACAAAATTTTCAAAGAAACAATTGGTCGGTTTTTAATGATGCAGTATTCAATTATGATCCGTTGATTGATTATAAAAATCACAGGTTAGTTGTTATCGGACTGACTAAAATGGAAAGATGAGACCGCAGGCATGTGCTGTTCCAATGGCAAAGTGTCTCTTCCGTTACTTGAGGAACCAGAAGAACGTTTGAAAACTCTCTTTTTAAATGATACTTATGAGTCAAAAAAAGCGCCGTTTTTAAACAGGATCCAGAAATATAACTCATGCTTTCAAATGACGTCCTTCGAAGTTGACCGGGAAATAATAATGCCGGGATTTTCGCCTACGTTTACGGTGCAAGGGCAAATTTATCATAGAATAGGTTCACTTTTTCCAGCTGAAAATGAACAGCAAGTTTATTTTATGGGCGACGAAGAAATTGAGGGAGACCGTCGCTGCCAATTTATCCAGGGATTTGAGAGAGACACAGTGTTCAAAATTCAAAGATTCTTGCATGAACGTAACATTTTAGTCAAAACATTTAAAACTGCTTTAGAAAAACTACCTGAAGAGGATTATAAAGTCGTCATTCACGCAGATCACCTTTGATAAACGAAATAGCAGCCGTAATTAGTGGTGATCAATTTTCTTCACGAGACATTGTCTTGCGAGCACGTGATGATACGTTGCAACGGGTAGCCGATACACACAAGTTTTATGACGCTCTGCAATACCCATTGATTTATTGCAAAGGACAAGAGGGTTATCATTTTCAAATTCCACTTATTAACCCGGTCACAAAGAAGCCTACTCCGAACAAAAAAGTATCATGTATGGATTTATATGCGTGTCATATGATGTTGCGAGAAAATGATTTTAATCTCTTAGCCCGGTGTAAACAATTATTTCATCAATTTTTGGTACACATGTATGTGAAGGTAGAAAGTGAACGTCTCCGTTATATATCTTTAAATCAAAAAAGCTGCACGTTGAGAATTATATACATTTACAAGACGCAGTTTCTAGCGACGCCAATGTAAATCCCAGTGATTTAGGTAAAATGGTAATTCTGCCCTCATCATTCGTTAACAGTCCGCGCTGCCTACATTAGTACACACAAGACGCATTCGCCTATGTACGAACTTACGGAAGACCTGATCTTTTTGTTACTTTTACTTGCAATCCCTCATGGAAAGTAATAACCGAGGAGCTAATGCCAGGCCAAAAAAGTACTGACAGACACGATTTAGTTGCTGGAGTATTTAGATTAAAAGTACAAAAATTAATGTATGTAACTAACTAAGGGAAAATATTCGGAGAGGTGCAGTGCTTCATGTATTCAATTGAATGGCAAAAAAAGAGGATTACCGCATGCCCACATTCCAATATGGCTTAAAGAGAAGTTGAGGCCCAGCCAAATAGACGAAATAATAAGCGCCGAGATTCCGGATCCTGAGCAAGATAAAGAATTGTATGATATCATCGTCCGAAATATGATTCACGGTCCATGTGGAGCACGAAATTCAA